TATGGAAATTTGAGAATTTGGAAATTTAAGGATATGGAAATTCAACAATTTGGAAATTTGAGAATTTGGAAATTTGGGAATTTGGAAATTTGAGATTTTAGAAACTTGAGAGTTTGGAAATTTGAAAATATGAAAATTTGAGAATTTGGAAATTTGAGAGTTTGGAAATTTGAGAAGATGGAAATTTGAGAAGGTGGAAATTTGAGAAGGCGGAAATTTGAGAATGTGGAAATTTGAGAATGTGGAGATTTGAGAAGGTGGAAATTTGGGAATGTAGAAATTTGGAGATATAGAAATTTGGGAGTGTAGAAATTTGGGGTGTGTAAAAGTTAAAAAATTTGATCTTTAAAAATCATCACATATTTAATCCCTCCTTTACCAACCTGATCATTACAGAAACATTAACCAGCAGGGTAGCCGAAAGGTACGGTTTCGTGGGCTTAATCAGCGCCGACTTAATTCGCCAAGAGGTGTCCATGCGTACCGAAAGGGCCTTCACATTAGCACGTATGATGTCCCAGGGTCAATTAGTACCCACGAATATCGTGGTCGAATTGATCGCAGTGAAGATGCTTGAACATCTAAGAGAAAATAAAGGGTTCCTCGTGATTGGATTTCCACAACAGAAAGAACAATGCAGAATATTCGACAGAGCAATAAGGCAACCTGATTTGGTTTTGTTTCTACAAGCCAGGAACTCTGTTCTAAGCGATCGAATAATGGCCAGAACGATCACGACCAGAGCGAGGATGTCGATGAACTTCGATTCTATTAGGAAACAGATTAAAGATTTCCATAAAAGGAATCGATCGGTTATGAGATATTATAAACATTTATTGGTGGTGATCGATGGAGAGCCTGATGTGACGACGGTGTACGAAAAAGTGTGTGAAGTTATTGACAACATGTTGCTTAATTTCTCGACGTCGTCGAATGTTCAGTCAAACGTTGCCACACCAGTAAATAACAAAAAATAAAGATTTATTTATGGAAATAACTTTTATACGACAGTAATCTGTCCATAAAAAATATTTGTACTAGAATATACCAGACTACAGACTTTTAAATTTAATTTATCGACTTGTTTTATTGTGATAGGGTAGTTATTTAATTTAAGTATAAAGTAGTGTAAAGGAAGTGCGTTTAATAAAAAATTATTATAAATAATGAAGATGATTTATTTATGATACATGTGTGAATACTGTTGTTTCACTACAATCCTTGTTTGGTAGAACTGATTTCAAGTAGAAATTCGGTATGTGATCATTTCTTACTAAAACATTTATCCACAGATTATATATAGAAAAATTTATTCACAGAGTGAGATATTTTATGTAAAAGTTTAAATAATTTAAACGATGTGCAAGGGTTAAAATTGTATTCGATACAATTTCTAAATAAAATTACACATCATAGCAGTTTGTACCTCCACATTTCAAAAGAGGTCCCCGATTAAAATTTGAAACTTCACATGGCAGAATTTTATCTACCCAAAAATCTACCGTAAAAAATTATACATATTCAAATCAATTTTGACAGGATGATACGATTCCATCAATGAAGGGTCATAATTGCCAAACTAACTGTCGACTGCACATTTTTTCCAGTAAACACAGAAAAAGTGTTTTTGATAGGCATTCGTTGTTCGCCTGCGTACATCCATTTATATTCTCACGTATGTCTGTATTTATTCTCATCCCCTGTATGTGTTTACGCTCGTTTTAATCAGTGGATGGATGGTTGCTTCTATTTATGAACGTACATATACACTCGAAGCCACAATCGCAGCAACGTTTCTGTATAGGAACCGAACTCACCCCCGTATACCAGTGTACATACACCCTGTACATGAAACGTTCGGCAAATGCACACATAAACACACGTGTACTATCTGCACGTGAGTTCCAACTCTTGTCTCGGTGGATAACTGATGGAACGTGCTTGCTTGTGCTTGTGACATGGCTGAGCTAAGAATTCCGAAATCCTAGGTATTCAAAAATAAAGTGTTCGTAAATTACGAATAAACTTTTTAAAAAAAATTGCAATCATGATATGCACTGTTCACATGTGTTCGTTTTTGTGAGTAGGCAATTTGTAACCACCCCTTCTGGGGAAGAAATTGCAACACGAACTAATTTTCTAATGGAAAACAAAATTTATAGAATATAAAAATTACACGGTTTCTGTAGTAGATTATTATTTATGCATACGGTGATATACGATGTGTATATGAATTCACAATTTTCGATTGAAAATAGCAGTATCTTCAGTGACGATAGCATAAAAGAAAACAGAAGTTATTACATCAAAAATATTGTATAGTAACGAGTATACAAGACAATTAGTAGCAAACTGAATGTAATAATAATCCTAAAATGATTTTTCGAAAAAATGATTTTATTTCAATTCTGAAAACTTCATAACACACTTCAGAGAATTTTCCATTTCCAATTCGTTGAAAGCTGCTATTAGTGCGTTTGAACGTTGTACTCCGTAACAGAAATATCTGGCAGCGCCTTTTTCAATCACCCTCAGTATATCCGCCCCTGCGAGCGTCCATCGCACACTTCTCGCGTTTCACCGTGTACGTGACCAGCTATCGAAAGGTTTAGCCGTGTGTTGGGGTGGGTGGACGGGCGGTTGGCTGCGTTTATGAGGGTGCGGGGCCGAAATTGAAAAGCACCCCAGCGAGAGGTAGGCGAGGGTGGTCGTGCAGCAGTCATTGACAAGCGAAAGACCGTATCAGAGGGTAATCCTATTGGTGGACGGTCGTGTCGCGACGTCCAGGCGTCATTGGTCCGCCTTGAATCTACGGGGCGTGGCCTACGGTTCGTAGAGGGATGGTGGGGTGCAGGATCCCTGGTTGCATCCCTGGCAACGATTACCGGAAAACCACAGGGTCGTTCGACGCTAGGAATTCAGCATGGCGGACCTGGCAACCCCTCCGGCTCGATTCACCACCACCACCATCAACCCCCAGCCGCTATTATCGAGGCCACTGCGACTGTTCACCACCAAACCGGCCGGGTAGTGGATTTCGCTCGATTTGTCCGGGGGAACACTTCAGGAATCGGAAGTTCGATCGGACGATTAATTGCTCCGTTAACTAGTCTTTTCAAATCCTGACTCTTTGACGACGCAGCTGGAATACAAGACGTTCCACTTGGACACTTTGATCGCTAGACGTACGGGACATTTGTATTTACTGTTATTTATTTTAACAAATTCATTTCACTGTTGCTCGGAATTTACTGTAAGCTGTATTTCATTATTAAACATTTTAACACAGTGGAAATTGCTATAGCTAGTCAGACTGTTATTTGAATTATTCAGAATACGAATAAGTAATTGTTACAATTGCTTGATTATAGAAAGTTTAATTGCTCGGTATAGTAACTTAAACATAATTTTGTCACAATAATAACTGTGTGTAAGATGCAATACGATCATCTCAATTTTCAGTTAAAGCTTTATACAATGTCTGTAAATTATTTTCTTTATTAATTTCAATTATACTATCAGATGAAAATTATTGTCTACAAATTAACGATATTATAGTGTACATTAACCTCGATAAATATATAAAAAAGTCTATACGATATGTTACAAAAACAACACCTGTCAGAATCAAAATTTTTTTAAATTCTTTTACAAATCGTTGGCGTCTTAAATAAACCTCTTATACATTTCATATAAATTCACAATAAAATTACAATTTCATCATAATATTGATTATAATTGCCAATAGAACATCATTAAAACATTTACCATTGTCACAATACATAAAATTCAGAAAAGAATCGGAAAGAGGAGCGAGAGTTCATTAAAGATTCTTAGTACAGGTTCATCGAGCTCGGAGGCACGTTCCAAAGAGCATTTTTTCAAAGCACGCCGTTCGTTAGATCCTCCACTTGTACCGTCGTTGTATCTGATTCCAGCAAGCAGCATCGAGATACTAGGCATTCCAGGCGAGCCGATAAAGGGGATGAGGGGGTTGAAAGGGTAGAAAGAAATGGGATCGTGACGAAGTAAGAGGGAAAGAGAACGAGTTTCACTACCACGTAGCCAACGATCAACAATTGCACGATGTTCAGTGGGTGAAGGTAGGCGTCGTCTGGTGACGGTAACTCAGAGGGTGGGGGTTGAAGCGTCGGCCAGGCGTCAACCGATGCGAAGGGTTGCGCGCAGGCGCCGCGACGAGCGTCGTCGACGAAGCGCCGCGTCAAACGTGCCGGCTATAGGTTAAATCCTCCCGCTTCTCGTTTTTGTTGTTTTTCCGGCGTTGCCTCCTGATCCCGCCTTCAAAAGTGCCAGCGGACCAATCGGTGGCCCGTGCTCGCGGGACGCCCGGCGTCGAGGCACCACTGCAACCACCAACGACGTCGATCTTCGCGATACGGGACGATCGCATCGAGCCAGCGTCGATCTCTCACCGAGACGTCGACTTCGAGGCGTCATCCGTCGTTGTTGTACTCGGATCGGGTTTCATCTCGTGTGAGAACCCGGCTCGTCGCCGGGTGCGTCGTGGTTCTGTGCAGTTCTCAAGGATCTAATCGTTAGGGTGCTAATTGCTTCGTTTGTGCATTGCAGTGATTTTGGACAATCTGGACTTTGTTGTGCGCGAGTGTCCAGGTTAATTGGAGCTTCGTTGCCAGGTGAGAGGATCTTTGATTTTGTGCTGGTAATTTAGGAAGATTGTGCGTTGAGAGTTCTGGAGGAGTTTGGATTGTAGGATCTGTGTATAGGATAGAATAAAGTGATCTACAGTTTTAGGTAATATGAATATCGTATATTGGATACACATTGCGTTTCGTTTTGATGTTTATTCCTGTTGAGATTAAAGATGAGAAAGTGCAACTATATTTTAAAGTGAACTTCAACTCTTAATCTACTTATCATATGTAGTACTTATCTGGTTATATTAATATCGTTTGGTGTCTGACAAAGAAATTGTTAATCAGTTATGTGAATGGGTAGCCTTTGAAATTGATCAGTCCTCTCAAATTAAAGATACAACGAAGACAGTGCATTGTCTCTTCCAAAAAATTGTACAAAAGTAGATCCTTGAATTGAATTCCTTTTATTTAAGGAATTATTTATTTCGAAAATTAAAAAGTCTCTTTGCGAAAATAATGTGTAGATGAACCAGCTCTTATATTTTGCAGTTTAATAACATTTGTATGTTGCAATGTGTTGCAGTATACGAGGAATGTTTATCGATACACCATGAACGGAGCAACGTCGGTAACAACCTCAGAGGAACATCAGCATCAACATCAGCAGCCACAAAATGATGCACCTGCGGAACATCCGAGAAGTCCTACCAGTCCTTTAAGCATACGACATGGTAAGTTACAAATGTACTAGTTGTCAAAACAACAAATAAATTATATTATTAATAATTGTACACTGCATTAGGAATTATTTGCAATAATTCATTTATATTTGATAAAATACAAAAATAAGTAATATATTTGCAACAGAATGCACTGAAGTGATAATTAAAACCTAAATCGAGGAGTCACTTCGTGTAAAAACGATTTAACAATTTTTCTGACTAAAACATGGTACCTCTTGATGGTAAAATTAATTGCATCCTATCGAAAGTCGGAAACAGCAAAATTTCAAGAAATGCAGTGTATGTTATTTCAGATGTTACAGAGTTAGGTATGAATTCATTTCCGTCTTTAAAGTTTGCTTTCGGAATCACAAATATTGTTCTTCGAGAGTTTTCACTGATAACAGAATCATCGATACTTGTCGTTTTAAATCATCGTTCAACAAGCACTATTATTAATGCGCGTCCAAGAGACAGACCATGTACATAAATCTACCCCTGACGCACTTTTATGCGAACCGTAGTTCGAGGGTGGTAAGTGGAAAAAGAGGGTGCAACGCGACCAACGAAATTATGCCATTTGAGTAATCAGATTTCGAGCTGCCAAAAGAATTTACTGTTATACGATTTTCGTAGTTGTTAAACGAACTAAATCCCATTGCATAGATGACACATTCCAATTAAATTTAGAAGACACAATTAAATATAGTTTTAGTTAACTAGATTTTTTGTATTACTGTGCATTAATTGTCAGATTCTAGTCATATTTTTATAAAAATTTACTAAAACTCTTCTGTAACGAAATTTGTTTACTTGTCAATGAAAAGGAATTATTTTTTGTTTATTATTAAATTACATATGTTTATAGCATACTGCATGGGAAAATTACGTAAACTCTTCAAAGTCGCACAATGTGCAAAATGTGAAAATCGAAAGAATATGCAGATAGAAAATATTCAAGAAAAATATGTATTTGTATTAAATTACAATTGTTGAATAAAAAGTAAGTATTACAAACTTTGAGGAAAATCATCCTCATTACATGATAAATAAAATTGTTAAAAAGAGTGTCGAATAAAATTTTCACCGACCTCAACGCGACCCCTATAAAAAGATCATCAAATATTACAAAACATAATGAAAAATTAAGAAAGAACGTCATCGAAAGGCACTAGGATCAGATGTTTGAGAACGCAACTCAGCTCAATCTCAGACAACTTTGATATGAGCGTATCACCCTAATGCGGTAACAATTAGTCGATAGCAGAGGGTGCGAGGGTGGAGGGTGACCAAAGTGGTCGTTGGTAGTTACGAAACCCCTTTTTTTCGAGCATCCCGGCCAATGTCCCCTTTGCTGGTCGTCATTCTACGCAATCCCTACCATGGCTCCTCGATGATCCCATAATACAGGGGCGCAGGTGGCGCCTCGCCATCCGCCAGCATTGATATGCTAATGAAATTTGACGCCCCTGCTTTTGCTCGCGCTATATACACGCGCGTATACGCGTCGCGTGTTTCGCGTTTGCACGAGGAATCCGTCGCTCGGTCACCATACGGCCGCATAATTTTCCTGTTCTCGTTTAACCCCTGCGATGGTGTCTCGCGAAAAACCTTCGTCCACATTTCATTACTCTAATGGCGTTACCTTGTTGCCATCATTTATTGCTACTCGTAGATTGGCAACTCCGTAATTTTCATACAGAATTATTTATTGAAATTGTAGAAAGTGGTAATAAACATTTATGAGAAATAGCTGGGGTTGAATATTCAAACAGTAACATTGAGATGTTATTTAAATAACATCGAGTAGCATTGCAAGAGTAGTAGTACATCGAGTAGTAACAATTCTATGGTGAAATGAAAGTCTCATTCTATGGTGAAATATAATTTTGAAGCAATGTCTAAAAAGCTGTGAGTTTTGGATATATTTGTATCATCATACCTATTTCATTGTACTTTTGTACGGCAGAGAAGATTCATGATTGCAGGAATGAAGAATCTTTATAGTAATTTCAAGAATGGATTTCACATGTCGCAATTTGTGTCTCTCTGTACGCGTACGATGGGATTAGGGTGTTAACGAGATCGAAAAGCCGACACGCTTAGGACGTTACGTGAGTTGCATTAATAAGATCGTTTCGAGTTCATCCCCCGTGAGTATAACGACCAAACGATAAGATCGAAATCTTTCTGATACAGCAGAACCATGCGTATCAATGAACGATTCGGACGTGCTTTAAAATTTCAATTGTCGATTACGATTGTAGACACGTATCTATTTTAGTCGACAAAGTCGTTGTGATGTATTCAATCTGTGCTCTCAATTCATTTATCTATGTAGCTTATCTTAATACCATGTTATTTTATCTCACTTCTACACTTTTTTTATATTGTTAAAACTATTCAAAATTTAATGGTATACTATCTGAAATTTAATGTTAAAGTTCGATGTGTTTTCTTAATATTGTCAACTTGGTGGTGATTCAAAATTTCGCTAGGTACTCGTTGCAATAAACTTTGCTTACTATTTGCAGAATGTTTCGTCGTTATTATCAAAAATTTCAGGTACCTAAATGTTTTTAATTAGATATATATGAATAAAACAATTTCTAAACAAATGGGTAGTTTCTCATAAAAATTCATATGTTAGTTCTGAGTATGAACCTCAATATGTAAATAGTGGATCTCACAATTAAAACTTCTGAACATTAAAATTTTTAAGCAGAACTCCAACAAATTTTTCAAAGTGATTTTTCTCCCATTAAAAATAGAAAGGTCCAATTTCATTTCTCCGATACAATTGATGCCAAGGGCAAGTCTCATGGGGACTCCAAGGGAACGTTTTAAATAACTCCGTGATGGGGGCACAGTTAAATTATTTTGTAGCGGGTTACGAGGACCCTAACCTGATATCGAGCTGTTCGCATGGTAATTCGAACGGATCCTGTCTGACCCCGCGGTATTAACAAGACCGGAACGAGTTTTCGATCGGATACGATGCACTCGACAAATACGATGCCAGGGAGATCTCGCGCCTCGTTCGGGGTTGGCTGCGTGACTAATAAACCCAAGTGGAGAAGCAAAATCACATTTCGTTAATCACACAGATGTTCGCCGGTCTACGATCTCTTTACATTTCCATCTTTCAATTAATATCGTCCGAATCGCAATTTATTTTATCAATTACACTCTGCTTTGTCCTTTGTCGCAATTAATTCTGTACTGATTACTCTGTTCGGTATGCAAAATTTTTACAATCACAAAGGATTTGATAAAAATTTTTTAAAGTATGGTTAAAAAATTAGATGATCGATATCATGTAATTTTACATAACCACAATTTCTGGCAATAAAGTCTTTGTTGAATGATCTGGTAAAAACTCAATATAAATGTTAAACGCCGAGAATTAATCTTATAATTAAAAGAGAGAAACGGAATTCTCCCCAGGATCGAATTCTTTTACGAACTCATTTCTCGATGTAAATACTGTTTGCCTTCGATTCGGTCGGTAAGCCTTAAGGGATGCGGAAAAAGAAGCACGCGCCTGGGGCTAAAAACCATAGCAAACCTGACACCGATTTTCTGAAACAATTCATCCCACTTTCTTGTTACTCAACGATTCAGATTTAAAAATTGTCCCCTTTCAGGTTCGAAGATCTCGCGATTAAGCTCGTCATAAACTATCACCGAAATGCGCATTTTGAGCGAATATAAATTTCTGCATAAACTTGCGTTTCTCCGAAATTAATCGATAATCATGTATTGATAACCGCTTTATCGTAGCACATTTAATCGGCCATAAATCTTACGAGCGCCTGGTATCCAACTCGTAAATCCATCGTGGCGATCCATAATGTTTACGCGTTAGCTGTGAGCAATTATTTTATATATGCGATCGGCGTGTCCGCCTCGGTAGAATCAATCAAGGGTGGAAGATGGCACTAGGGTTGCGAAAAGAGATTTCTAGGATTAGTGGAACGTAGCTGCCAGCTGATCGAATAGGATGAATCAAATTTGATCACCGACCGTAAATCCAAAATCGTTCTATCTAAACCACGCATAAATCTCGATACGAAAAAAAGAATGGCAGATAAGAATAAAATGTTTGTGCCTCTTTTATAGCTCTTCCGGGCAGACATGTGCGTGTCTGTATAAAAATTGTCAACATGAAATCGATATTTATGATCTTCAAATTTTCGTAACGTCAGATGCACTTTTTCGTGAACTGTTTTTTGTCGAAACAAGATTTATGAAAACGAAAATGATAATTCGGTCGGTTGATAAGGTTCACAATTGTGTAAAGTCTGGGCAATAAAGTATCAAATAATTCGGAAAATTTTGGGGGTGTCGAAAACAACCGAGATATCAATCAAATTGCAACGACTAAACAAAAATGTCATACTCTGTACCAATATTATCAATTACTTGCCGACTTATCAAAGTGATACTATTCGATCAAAATTTCTTGTTAATCATATAAAATCGCATTCGCCAATTTAAGATTAAAGTAAAGTGTAGAGACAATATTCTTGCTAAAAGTGGTTTTGTCGAAAGTTAATTGTTCGAACTCGGTCCAAAAAGAACCTAACACAAAAGGCATTTGTTTTCAGACTCCGGAGAGAGCAGCGTAATCTCGCCAGGATTACCAGAACGGTATAGTCCTTTGGGAGCAACAGGATCGACCTCGACTCACGATCCTTACGCCTCGAGGTCCGTTCAGGAGTGTCCTGTTCCTCTTTGCAGAGGAATACCGACTGATTTTCCGCTGGCTAGATCGCCTTACCTAACGGCTCTTGGTAATGGCCATCCCCATTTGCTGGGACAGGTGCAGCAACAGCAACAACAGCAGCAGCAGCAACAGCAACAACAACAAATGCAACCGCAACATGGCAGCAAACCACCGCGCAGTCTTGGCTTGATATGCGTGGTTTGCGGTGACACTAGTTCTGGCAAACATTATGGAATTCTTGCTTGTAACGGGTGCAGTGGCTTCTTCAAACGCAGTGTTAGACGGAAGCTGATATACAGGTGAGTTTATTGTATATTGGTTCATTAATTATATTCATAGTAGAGTTGTTACAATTAAAGAATGAGGTGATTGTTTATATTTTCATACGCAATTGGTAGTGAAAATTATTATACAATTAATAATTTTAGTTCTGTAGTTTCATTCAGTGATCATGTTCATCTTTATTTCATAATTGGATCAAACTTTTAAGCCTAATCTACCTAAAATCTAGATCATAGCTATTTATTTTAGGTCCACATTTTACTAACAACCTTGTCGATGACGTTTAATTTGTGGTTGTAATAATTAAATAATTAAACTGAAAATATAATGCACTTATAATATATCCAAGTCTGTAAAACGTACATAAATAATGTATAGAATGCAGCTCACAACTGTTTCATAAATGTATTATAAACATCTTCAGCCTGGTGATAATTTTCTGTTATCAAAATTGCATAACAAGTACCTTTCAACAGCTTCTTACTATGTAGATACAATTTAAGATAAATATAGAAAAATGTTTTCTCTGAAATCTTCAAAAAATGAATATACGTATATTCAACACAGCTGTCCAAAAATGCATTTAAACATTGAAATACCAAAATAGTATTACAGGTTGCAAAATTAATCAGAATTTCTTGCTCGGAAGACACAGTACAAGTTCATAATTTCTCGCGTTTACGTCGTACAGAGAAATTAGTCAGCGAATCCTCGGATGGCGTTTAATGTCAAACTGGCCAGCCAGAGGCGCCATGTGGTCCAAGTCGACTGGGCTCATCCTAATACCAGGCAACAATACGGAACGGCATAATGTTGAATCCTGGAGGACCTATCCACCTAACCCGCCGTTCTGTATATACGGCATACTATTACCATCCCCAGGGAACGGCCATCCATCTCCATCGGATCCCTCTCAACTCGGAATCGCTGTCTGATACGCTCGATCCGTTTTACACGGTACCGTGTGTATGTGCATCCCCCTTTGACCACGTATGAGACTATCGATAGCACGTATTCACGTAGGTGTGCGTGCTAAGCCCATCGAGGAGATACACGATGCTGGTCTACTCGATATACACACTATTAACCCCATGTGCTCTCTTTGAAAATATGAAATCTTTAGTCGTGCGTGAGCGAATTTCGAATTATGTTGAATTTTCTTTAGCGATGCGTTACTGTACGTTAGTCGTGGATCGTGTTGTCAGGCTAGGTTAGGTTGTATAGATGTGTACTTGGAAGAGGTTAGATCTATGCATTGGATTACCACGCATTAGATTATATATGTTGTATTTCGACGCGTAAGGTTATCATTGTGTTGTATTTCCACATATGACATATGTCATGCGTTGTGTCTCTACATGTTAGATCATGCGCTGTATTTCAGCTTTAAATCACCTACGCGATGTATTATCACGTTAGGTTGCCACGAGCTAGATCACCACGCGTATCACCAGATGTAGAAAGATACTGAACCATCACATAGTGAATGCATTGGTCGTCACGTGTTAGATCACATGCGTTGTATCACCACGCGACAGGAAGTCCCAAGCCTTGAATTAGCACTCGTTAGATCATCAAGCATGGAATTATCTCGCGTTGTATCACGTGTTAGATCACTGTATTATAATCCATTAGATGCCCATCCCTTCATACATCATCCCATAATATCCACATCTAGAATTTATTACTCCAAAAATTGAAAGTCCTGCCAATTCGTACAAACGTGAACATCTCATAAAAATTGTCAAACATTCTACATTTTTGTATTTAAGTGAAACTTGATGTTTCTCTACGTAAAATAGAATTTGATCAAGGATCGATAGCTAGTATTTCCAGTACAATGGCCTGTTCCGTTTTTTTATGGATCCTTTTTATTCTCCGCTATCAATCCCCGTCGAACGATCGTAATACGGTAAAGAGTGAAGAGCCTTCGCACAGATAACCAATTACTCGTAGAGGGGAATAGACCGCGACAGATGCGTCCCGACGTGATGCGCCGCGGCGGCGCATCGACTATAATCGCCGGATTAAAGTCCAACTTCACGGATCGGTTAGATGCAATTAAGTACGCCAGATCGCGTCGAAAGTTCACACGAACTCCCATTGGGCCACACTTGAGTTTTGCGCGCATAGAATCAATCGCTCCTCGTCCTGATTGATAAACCAACGATTATCTAGTCGGTAGCATCGATGCCAGATTTCCATTCAAATTGAACATTACAAGTGGATTTGTGGTTTTATCGTGATGAGATACGTTGCTCCAATGCGTTCTGATTGCATTCGTATATTTTTAATATTACTTCATTTACTTTGAAAGGAACTGCGGTTTCGTATTCATGGACGGTAAATGTAATTTTTTTGTAGATAGAATGTCGAACATGATTATACTTTCTGATTTACCTGCAACGTTTAAATGCTTGCAGAAAGTCAAAATAATTTGTATGAATGTATCGAACAATTTTCTTTTTGTTAATTGAGATCAAACAAATATGATTTTTAGATCAGAACATGATACGAAAGAAGTTTGTTGAAGAAGAAAATAATTTTCTAAATAAATTCTTGAACATAAGCAATTTTTTCCCACAGAAGTTTATTGAAGATAAAAATGATTTTCTAAATAAATTCTTGAACATAAGCAATTTTCTCCCACATCATTCATATGTAACCATGTTATTACTGACCTAATACAAACATGTGACCATTATTTTAATTTGAAACTAAATTTCAACACGTAATAATTGATCTATGTTGCCACATCACCTCGTTAGAAAAAATGACTTTATAAAATAAATTACAAACGTAATATGTACATACGTGTACATACGTTATACTACATAAATTACACAGAAAAGCAGCTTTCATAAGTTTGAAAAACTACCTTGCATAGAGATATATCAAATTGTAAGATCAATTCATTTGTTCCTCCACAAACAAGAGTCCTCGAATTAAATCTGAGACCGTCGGGGTTAAGTCATTGAATCATCAGCAATCGCGATCGGCGGGCGTGATAACAGGCAGCACATGCTTCCGGTAACTCGATGAAGCAAACAATGCCGGCCAGCAGAAGACTAGAGAGATGCGTAAATAAATGTATGATGTGGTTCTGAAGGGTGAATGCCGAGGGTGATGTATCCCCCGTGTTGCACGGGGAGAGCTTCGTGGAGGTTCGCTGGGGTGTGAACGCAAATCAATTTGCGAGAGGAACCCTGCTGGCACGACAGCACGCAGCCACCCTTCGGTGCCCTTCGTGTTCCACCGCCTCGGGACAAGATAGCTCCACGATGCTGACGTCCTTTCGTCGCACGCTTGGATCGAGCCGCCTTCTTGTGACTGACGTTAGTTAAAATCGCGCTAACCGAACCCCATCGATCGAACATCCTGCGAATCACCTCGAGCTATTGCTATGTTTGTGATTTTTTCTTTCACTCGATGAGAACTGGAATTGATGAGTATTCGTCGAAGAACGAAATCTTCAGAGATACAAAATCCAACTATCCTAAAATTTTAAAGTTCTCGAATACTGAAGCCCCAATTTCTCAAAATCCCAAAATCTAACTATTCCAACATTCTAAAGTTCCCAAATACTAAAACCCTAATTTCTCAAAGAACCGAATTTTCAAAGTCTCAAAATCTAACTATTCAAAAATTCTAAAGTTCCCAAATACTGAAGCCGCAATTTCTCAAAGAATGAAATCTTCAGAGTCCCAACATTCTAAAGTTCCCAAATACTGAATCCCCAATTTCTCAAAGAACCGAATCTGTAAAGTCCCAAAATCCAACTATCCCAAAATTCTAAAGTCCCAAAAATCTCTAAATCTCAGTATTGCGAAGTAATTCAAAATTCGATTAGGAGGTGATAAATCATTGCAATAGCAAACGTAACGAAAGCAACGCGTTAATTTGTCCGTCGAATGCTGTGTCATGCAGCAGAGAGAAGAAGAAGGCGAGAGGAAGAGTCTGTAAGCCCAAAGAAGCGAAGCAGCACGAGTCTACCGCGGGATTAGATGAAATTAAGAGGGATAAGAAGAAGGTACGTGACCCCGAGCGGTCGCCTCTTTAGTCAGCTTGGAGGGATAACTTGGTTAGCCGAACAATGAAAGTAATCGAATTTAACGCCATCTCCTGAGTTCGCAGCCAGGATTTCCGGCAAGTGCGCTCAAAATTTATCGTCTTTTCGAGAGGGACAACATCCACCACGGTGACTGATGAAACGTCATTGTCAAGGATCGATCGATTCTGACACCTTTAAGAGTTTTCTCTTTCGATTGCTAGTTTTCTCCTTTTATCGTTAGTTTCAGATAGACTCATTGTAAAATGTATTATGTTACCTGGAAATTAATTTTGATTTTTCGAAAGAAGTTATAATGAATTAGTTTCTTTAGGAATGAAACTTTTGAGGTTAGAAAAGGAAATGATTTATCTTTTTGATGTACTTTCATTTTAAGTCTGTAACAATTATATAAATATTAATATCTACATAACATTTGATGAATTTAAAAATGGACATACATTCACATATACCTGTATCCTTGAAGAGATGATTAGAAAGTTATCTAGATGACATACACACAAACTTTGATATATTTAAAAATACATATGTGAACTATACATTCATATATAATACTACATGTACATGTATCGTTGAAGATATAATTACAAATCTAAATGATATTGTTAATAAAACTTTCAAAACAAAAACCATTTTGGATCCGTTTTAAATAATTTGGTAAATTTTCTGTGCAGATGTCAAGCCGGTACCGGAAGATGTGTTGTGGACAAAGCTCACCGGAATCAGTGTCAAGCGTGTCGTCTGAAGAAATGTATGCAGATGGGGATGAATAAAGACGGTGAGTAATTGAAATTGTCTTGCATAACAAATGGAAGATATTTGATAATCGTTTCTCATGAAAATTGTATGTCTGTTTTGTTTTGAATTTATTTCCTGCTCTTCGTCTTAATGAACAGCCGATAGCTAAACAGTTTGGAAATGCATTTTGTGATGAAGGTTGATACATTTGGGATGACTTCTATCATAATGCTAGCAAAGGAAAAAATCTTTTCGATACGTTGAAATATTGAAATGTCGGTTCCCAGATCGATGAAGTTGTTCAAAATGTTTAAACGTTACCACGAATGATCAGAATTGATTTTCAAAGCAAAAAGCAATTCTACCAACAATAATTAGCTAGGAAACCTATCTAAATGGAAACAATCTTTTTTTTTGTTGCGTTTTAAAGAACATGTCTTTTCCACTTCGCGGACGCTACACGGTGAGCATAAAACAATTTCTATCTTCTTAAACTTCACTGACTAATTAACTTTCAAAGGAGACTTATCGAATAAACAAACATTAAACAAAACGCCAAAATATTTTACGATTGAAAAATTACTATGATTTCACGATTACTCCACGAAAGGATATCTTTTCTGTAAAAAGTGAATTTTCATTTTTCGAAGACAAATATTTATGGTTGGACACCCGTTATCCGTTCATGAGATTATCGGTTTCCGCAGGTAAATCTGTATCATGCGAATCAATCAACGCTAGTCCCGCTATCCCTGTCACCCTATATGTCCGTGAAGAACGGAATTCGAGGGAGGGTCCTTTATGTTCGCGACATAAATAACTGGATAAAGGCAGAGTGATTGGTACGGGTGGAAGTCTGCTTGGTGGCAGCGTTCGATTCAACTCTTAATGCCTCTCGAGCAGCCACGGGCGCACCTGCCACGGCAAAAGAGCATTTCCCCTTTTCCCGTTACCATTCCTTTCCTTCTTTGGTCCCCGGTAGGAAACTCCTCTCTCGCGGGTTACGCCAACTTTCTTATTGCCGAACTTGACGTCGTAAGAAGAAATATTTCCAATTGGATCCTGGTTCCCTTGGCGACGGAAACGACGATGCTCCTATGGAACGTCCCTAGGACATTCTCGTGCGTCGGGAGTTACACGAAATTGCAACTTCGATCTTGATAGATAAATTTTCTTTTGACAAATTTTACAACCGTCGAGAATTAGATAATATTGTATTTTTTCACACTTTATTCGTAATGTAGTCAATGTTGAGTACATTGTAATTAGTACTCAATAATTAGGATTGCTGCAGATGGATTAATGTTTTACTACGATTTCAACGATTCAGTATTAACAAGTTTATAGGTTTATGAAACTAGTAATTGAATTACATTTCATTATTTAATTTTACTTATTCAGTTGGTTGCAACATGTGAGCAGGTAGATTACAATCAAATTACGAATATGATTGATTATAGTTTACATTTTTAGGTGCCATGAAAGGTTGTAATTCGATTTCATTTGAGCAAAGGGATTAACATAAAATATTCAAACTCGTTACGAGATTGTACTAATTACTGAAAAGATTACTAGCTGAGTGACACAATAGATTAGATACTTTTAGTTAAATAATTAAATATTGACTGTAGTTGTTTCCTTGGCCATCAGTATACTACCCTTAATAATTCCAATGTAACCTAACCTCATCTAGTACTGTCAATAATCCATATTACTAATTACAAGTATGGTATGAATGATATGAAGATCACATTTTTGACTTATCTTGTTCATGTAGATTCAGTTCATGTTGCAAGAAAGTATACAGTCATGTACTGATCGAACATAACCTAGAAATTTTTATAATCTCCCTTACGGGTCGTTAACATTATATGAAGTAAATGAAGCCTCATATAGAAATGTGTTGCTCCTCATTTTCGACTTATCTTCCCACATAGATTCGCCCCTTATGTACTATTTAGATCTCCCAGTATATATTTTATATAAGACTACACCTTAATGTACCCTTACATAATTATGCCCTAATATAATTTAATATAATCTGATACAACCTGTCCCCTGACATAATCTATACCCTAACATAAATAATGTGCAACAATATGCCCTAATATAATTTTAAAAGAAGTCAAAGCACGAAATCTAACATTTTTAAGAATAAGTCGTTCAAGCAACAAACCCGTTCACCAAAATGTCGGCTAACATCGAAATTAACATCGTTACTTATTGAAACACCTACCTACCACATTGAAGCATCAGAATTATCGTCGAATAAAAATCGAAACAGTGAGCAACGGTTTAGCCGCGTGCTGAACAGTGCGGTTCACCACGTTAGGCGAAACGACGCCCGGCGTCGTAAACACCGCGGTCGTTAGCGACGGTCGCGTGGCCCTCGACGAGCCCCGAAGGGTTAATTGGGGGAAATAAACGTATGCAACGCGGCACCGATCTGCGTACGCAAAAATCTGCTCGTTCCTCGTTGTCTGTCAAGCCGCCTAAGGGAACGGGTGACAAGGAATCCGTCGTTCTAGACAAAGAAAGATAACGCGAGCGTAAATTGTGTCATAATGGTAAGTCAAAGGGAGTAACAGAGAAGGAAAATGCAAAGTGAAAAAGGGAGGCAGACCTCCCACGGTGAGCTTCACGCAAATGAGAGTGAAACGATCTGTAAAAGGGCGTTTATCTCTCCTGGCGTGAAACCGGACGGAGACGTGGAAAAAAACGGTGAGAAGGGTTTGGACAGGCGGTTCGGTATTCGTTTATTGAACGGGAATCGACGACTGTAATTCGAAAGGGTTTGTGAAAGCAGCGTTTGTTTGGTCAGTACATTATTACTTTTTAAAAATTAGAACACTTTTAAGTCTTAAAAAATGGAAGGTTTTGACTATGAACTATGTACCATATAGGATGGTTCAAATTAGATAGCAATTTTTGTTCTGTGTAGTGTCGTATCAACACAAGTATTTCTTCTGTTTTGCTGTTATTTTTAATGGTTTTTGGTGAACTTATTAAAAAATTATGGAGAACCTCTTAAGAGAAAGGAAACTCATTTGATCTTTTGAAAAGTACTGCAATGAACGTGAGACATCTAGAGAAGTATATATGTATATTAAACATGGTGGTTTATAATTTACATATTGTTCGTATTTCGTAAGAAGTAATTAATACAAAGAAACTTTTCTAACTCGTAAGGTTATAAACTGTGAACCTGCCAGTTATTTTGAACTACCCTGTACTTCCCAAGTATTTCAACCACAATAAACTAGCAGCTGGAAAAATTCCACAGAGTAAAACTTTCACATAAAACTTGACCAAAGTTGAACAGAACCGAAGTTAATTTCACCCCTATCTGAAAGTTTACCTCGAAAAATTGTTCTCGCTAGCAATCTTGCGATATCGGCGATACTTCGTTGTGCATTGAAAAAGAGAAGCACAAAGTGTCGACAGGCGATATAAAAAAGCGTGCAACGTACAAGAGAAGAGGGACGAGTGTGTGAAAATAAGCGGACTGAAGAGTTAAAAAGACAAAAGGGAAAGCGCGCGTTACACGGGGAAGAAAAATTTCCCGGGGTCGCGGAGAGAACGCGACTGGCAGAAGGGCGTTTATCTTTTCCGCCGCGGCAGCAGGGTAAACGGGAGAAAAAGTGAGAGAGCGAGAAGGGATGGGTAAACGTATAACCGTGAAAAAGACAAAGAACAACGATGCCAAAGGCTTGACGAAGTAGGAGGATCCTATTAAGCCGCTCAGCAGGCAGCACGACGGAGGCAAAGCGAGCCGCGGCACGCTTTTTATTATTACAAAATTACTGTGCACCCGTGCCGCGCTAAAAGGGAAGCTGGAAAAAATTCTGCTTGCTGTTACACACCACTGAGTGCCCTAATCGCGCCGCCATTAGCATGTACCTACCGTCACGAGTCTCCCTTTTTCGGTAAAATGAACGAATTGCCGCGTTTTTCGGGACGAAACCGACAGAGAATGCCAAGAAGATGTTTGCCACTGTGCTGTGTGATTTGGAAAATGGCGCGCTGCAAAGTCGTACGTTATATCGCCACTTTTATCGCTAGAAATTGCATTTATATATTTGAGAGCAGCGTCTTATTATTAAATAAGTTTAATCTTAAGATTAAATATTTGAATTAAAAAATTTACAATTTCTCAAATCTGTAAGTCTTCAAATTTCCAAACATCTGACTTTCTATGTTTGACAATTTGCCAATACACAGACAACTTTTTAGCAGTAGTTAAATTCGCCATCGATTATGGTGGGAACACTATAAAAATTATGAAAATAATGTTACAGATGGCGATGATTAACATATTAATGTAATTCGTCGTATCACAAAATCAATGTTAGCGATGGTGATTTCTCAAACAATGAAGTATAACAAAGATCGAAAGATATACTGTACTGTACGGAAAGTTTTTCTTAATGCAATAACAAAGATAAAGGAGCAAAGAGAAAAAATAAACGTGGTATATTTTAATGATGTTTGTCGTAACAACACGCGAGAACCGAAATATTCGAAAAATAACTTGTTACAGGCGGTAGTATCGATTTATTTAATACCGAATTTCAAGAAACTCGGCTTCATTTCTCGCAGCTGTACAAATACATCGTGTTTCTTTTGATCGAAGGATACAAAGATGAAGGCAATGTCAACGCAATTTACTGCATCGTTTGTACATCAAAATTCAACTTTACTTTCTTATTTCATCGCTGGGAATAATAACTGTAAGACCAAAACAAACACATTAATTTTTCGACCTTTTTCTTATGGTTGATTCTTGAAAATGATTTTATGTTTTTGAACGATTCAGATATTACTATGAGTCATTAGGATGAAAAAAAAAAAATATACTGATCGAATTGAGTAACCTCCTCCTTTTTCGAAGTCGGTTAAAAATAATTAATATACTATAGTTTCAAAGTCTCAGGTCAAAGAATTAAAAAATTAAAAAAAAAATTGTAGACAAAATAAAAAATGTTGAAGTCCCATAATTGCAAAGGTAGGGTTCTAAATTTTCAGAATTCTAAAATCTTAATGTCCCAAAATTTTACAGTCCAGAGTACCAAAAATTGAAAAAGTCGAAACAACATAAAATCGAAAATATTCCAAAGACTAAAAATGTCAAAAAACCCTAAAAGCCCAATGGTCTCAAATCCCCAAACTTCTACAACCCCTAACTCCTAATACGTGAAAATCTCAAAATCCCAAAACTTCAGATTCCAAAATATCAAACATACAAACCTCAAAACTTACAAACTTTGTAAAATCCAAAATATAAAAATCCCAATGTTTAAAAATTTTTAAAATTCCTAACTTCAACAATCCTCAAAATTCAGCCATGTCGAATTCCAAATATATCAAAGTCCCAAAATCCAAAATTCTCTCGTCTTAAATTACTAAATCTTGATAGCTGGAAGTGCAGAATAGATCTTGACCATGAATACTTTCGATCGAATGTTTCGTACAATACGTCCGAAAATACAGTGGCATTGTTCGAGAACAAAATAAGGACGTATTCTCGTGGTCCATGGTAGATGCGATTTCAAAGAAGGTTATTAATAATGATCGTCCTTTTCTGCAGCCCGTTAGCCGAATAAGAATTACCGGACGACAATGTACAAACAATAAACGCGTCTGATTTCTGTACATCCATTAAATTCACGCTTGTCAGCGACAGACCTCTGGCGTGATATAACGGCGCGTTACGTGAGTTTGACGAGAGGGTGGTAGCCGATCGTTTGTTCCCCGATTAATCTGGCAAGATTCGCCGAACCGAACTCGTTCCACTAATATTTCAATAACCGAGAAACTTCCCCTTGAGAAGATCCGTCCGGGAATTGTGCGTCGAAATTCCTCGAATTCAGACGATTATCTTTGAAAGGTTATCGAAATTTAATCGTTGCATATTGTATCTTAATATTAACTGTATCATCTGGAGGTCTGTGTGTTCGAATGGAGAAGACTTTTCGAAATGCGGAAATGCAAAAAATATTCTCGTGGAAATGCATGCTATTTAGGGTTCATTCTCAAGTGTGAAACGTTTACGTCACTTTCATCGTATGGACTTCAAATCAGGAGTACCATTTTAGGACTGATAATTTTAGAAATGATTGTTTCCAATATTTGAGGATCAGCAAGTTCTTTATATAGACCTATGTGACCTACGTGTCACGTTTAAAATCTTCGAAGGTTTCCCTAGAGAAATGGAATTCATCGAAGCTACGATAAACGTCGGTTTAACGAGCCGTTCCGAATTCATCGTTCGCTTTCTTGCAGATTGACAAGCAATTAATCATGTGTCGGTCGCGGTGCTGGCGTGTGCACAAATTCCAACCGACATTAAGCTCAATAGCAATGGATAGCGCGTTCGACGCTGTACACGGGAGCGTGTAATTAATTCATGGCTGCAATTAGCGCCTGTTATCGACGTTACATCGAAGGTGTGCGCTTCTGTTGCAGCCGTACAGAATGAACGGCAACCAAGGAACACTGCCACCATCAGACCGGAGGCTCTCGTCGAAATGGACCAGGAACGAGCGCTACGGGAAGCTGCGGTCGCCGTCGGTGTTTTTGGGTGAGTCTTCATCTTTATGTCTTTGTTACACTTTGTTCCTATCTTTATTTGTCACACTTCATTGCGATGTTCTTCATGACTGATTAAATTAACATGTTTATCAATTGTGTTTGTGTCAATCGTGTGAACATGTACATTTGAATGTTCATATGTGATCTTGACATATGTAGACATCTTCAGGTTGAGAGTAAGGATTGCTTCTGAAACTATGAAATGTTAAACATTTTTGAATAACTAAATGTAAGAATTTCTTAACTACTAGATTCTTAAACTTTCAAACTCTCATGTCCTCAACGTTTAGAGTTCTCAGGTCCTCCAGTTCCCAAAGACTCTCATTCTCAAATTTCCCAAATTCCCAGATTAGCAAATCTCCATCTTCTATAAATACTTCAATAACACATACCGCAGGTAGGTCAAGCACATTCTCTAAAAACTGGCGAAAATTTTACGCACCATAGACTTTCATCCTTTTTCAAACTTTCGCTTTAGAATATCGGTGATAAATCAATACACGCGTACAATTATAACCTCAAACAAACGGTAAATAAAACCTGGACAATTCTGAACAGTTGTATTCGCAGCGAAGGAGGTTAAAAGAGTATCTCGCAATCGAAAGAACGAAACGTGTCAAAAGAACAGGTCGGAGAAAGGTGGTAATTTCTAGAAGGCCATCGACGCCGAGCATCGGCACGCTCGGTGTCGCTTTTAACGCTTCACCCCTTGGCGCTCTATGGATTTTCCATTAGTTCCAACCTGAGTACCCGGTTACCTGAAAAACGGTCATCCACGGGCTACTAGTCAAAGGTAATTTTTCATGATAGATCACGCTCGGCGTGGCGTGTCGCGAGCGCGCTTGCTCACGACGGCGAAAAGTATGCTGCTGTCCAGCAGAAGATCAAACGTGCCAACAACATCGTCGGCTCTCTTGCTTCCCGGTGAATCGCCGATTATCGATCCCGGGTACACTCACCGTTACCTTTAATCCCCCCTTCCTTGACCCCGTGGATCGTTCGGAAATCTATCGTTTATGCGTCAACCGAACATCCGCGAGAGGATGCTCCTCGTGAAAATTATAAGTGTGCAAGTGGAACAAGGTTCTTGGATAATCATAGACGCGACGTGACATTTTGTGAATCTTGATCGAAGACATTTTTATATCTCTGATGCTGGGACAAATATGGCTGCAAGGGTTTGAATTATATTTAAATTTTAGGTTAAAATAGTAAACACTTTCTCATCACATAATTTTTCGTCTTATTTGTATCGACAGCATAAAATACGAATACTGAAGAAATAAAACGTTTTGCTATTTCGAGAAACAATGCCGATACAAATTGAAAAGGATTGCGACTCTGGTTTTGAATGGAATTAAGTACGTATTACGTATGAATTAAGTATGTATTAACTATCGAATAAAAGGTTTCTTGAATGAGGTTAATTTAGTTTCGCGTTTACGCAGGTACCAGATTCGATGACGTGGCACAATAGCAAGATGTCCCATACAGTTTATTGAAAGTCCCCTTGATCTTGACCATTCAGTTCTATGTTTTACAATTCTATATTCAATCGAATTATTTGTGTCTTAACCTATTATGCAAGGATGTTAATTAATACACAATAAAATTTCACATGAAAGGTATCCAAACGAGAAGCTGAACAAGCTATACATAACAAAAGACGTTTATTTCAACTTTAATAATAGAGCTAAGAAAAAACGTGACGATACAAATCGGCTTTAATGCGACTAGTCGTTCAACGTTATCGATCTGCGGTATTATTTTCACGGGCAAAGGTCTGCATCGACCTTTATTCAGTTTCACGAGTTTCTACTATCCGCTCCGCGAAACGAAGCTGTATACACGAATCGATTAATTTTCATAGTATTAAGTTTTTTTTCTATCTTGCTTTCATATTTTTATGTTTTCTTATTGCCCGCTATTATGTGTCCATCTCGTAAGACCGTTCCGACGCGGTTACAACGTTCCGCCCGAGCACTTGTGGTTTCTACATGTACGCGTATTTTATTTTTATCGGATTTATAAAGCCTGTAAACCGCAGTCACGTCCCTGGATCCCTTGAAAACACGTTGTTTCTAATCCACGTGAGTGCAAAACTCGAATACGGTGTCCCCCTGAACGATCTGGGCGAACAACGCCCTGGCTCTGGCTCTGGGGGACAACATCTCCTTGTCGCGGTACAAAACGCTGTCCAAAATGGGCGATCGTACGTCCAAGGTGTCGCCTATATTCTTCTCAATTTGCAACGCAGAAATCGGAGCAACGGAGTTCCTCATGTCGCTTTCGGACTTGGCGAACTTTCTCACCGGTTCGGTGTAACCGTTCAAATCGTCCTCGATGTCCACGGCAAATCCTCGTCTCAGATTCTCCGACTTCGTCTGCCTGATGACTGACGCGACGCGACGCTTGATGTCGGCCTTAACAATGGCCGCCTCAGCTGTTTCTCTTCGGCTGACGTTTGGATTCTTCGTCACGCTATCCACCATCTCCAGAAGACGATCGAAGGAGTTGCAAATCTCGTCCAACGATTGCTGACTAAGCAACAGGAATCCGTTCGTCTCCTTTTCCTTCTCCCTCAACGCGTTCTCTAACTCCATTAGATTATTCTTCATCGTTTGCAGCTCCTCTTCAGCGACCTCGCGACGTTTACGTTCTTCCGTTAACAGAGAAGTACTTTGCTTGAGGTCCTCCAGCAGACGATAATGCTCCGACTTCGCTTCCATCAGTTGAACCTGGATCTTCTCGAGCCTGGCGGAGTCTATCTCCGACTCCAAACTGCGCGGCATCTGCGTGGCGGCGTCCACCTTCGTCGGGTTGACGATCTTCGACGACGAATCGCTGTCAGGCTGAACGTTTTCCTCGACAGTCTGGACGTCTTCTTCGTTCTTCATCGTGTCGTCCATTGCGGGTTTGATGTACGATTGGAGGTCCAAATGAAGAGTGATCTTCGATTTGGCTTGGCCGTTCTGAACCACCTGCTGCTGTTGTTGCTGTCTCTTCTGTGCCGCCGCGTGTTTAAACGGTGGCAAATTGGGCCTCATCTTCGTCTTCTTCACATTATCTATCGAACTGATCACTTTTCTCGAAGGAGCTTGATAAGGACTCTTCCCGTACTCCATCGCGGCGCTACGCGGTCTGATAAACGGTTTTCTACTATTCTCGTTCTCGCTTCTCTTTCTGTTGCCCGCCGAAGCTGCCTTCCGATCCTGCTGAGGCAAAGCGAGCCATCTATACTCGACCTTCGTGTCAGAACTGTTCTCCTCCAATCTCTTGATTATTTCTTTCACGAGCCGCTCGTTCAGATTCGCATTCTGCCTCACGTCGAGGATATTCAACGTGGTGTTGTGATCCAATAGTTCCAGGAGATCCTTGCCGATCTTATCCGACAGTCCGCAGCGTTGCAAGTCTATCGCTTTCAGCCACAGACTGTCTCTAATCGCCTCGATCAGCTCGATTATCGCCGCGTCGCCTAGCTGAGGATTGTCGTTCAGAGTTAGACGACGTAACCCTGGCATCGCCTCGAGATTCGGCTCCTGATACCTCAAGGACTGCTTCCAAGTATCGTGATACAGCAACAGCTTCTGTCTGGACAAGGCAGACGCCAAGGCCGGTCCACATTTGCACGTCAGATCGCAGTAGCTGAGGTTCAACGACCTCACGCTGGGCACATCGGCCACTGTTCGACACAACAACTCGCAGGAGCTATCTCCGATGTAGCAACGCTGGAGAGACAGGCTACGAAGCGTGTTCGTGTGCGACAGACCTACGCACAACACCGCCAAACAATCTGGCGGAAACGGGATACCTTCCAGCTCCAAACTGGTCAACGTTGGCGAGTTTCTAACACATTGGGAGACGCTATGCGACAACCACTCCAGAAGATAACGAGATAACACCACCGGCGCTTTGCCCATTGTTCTAGCTTTGTCCTCGGAATTGATCTCCTCCAATGGTTTGCGACATTGATACCTACTGCGAACGCTGATCGAACGCAGGCTACGATCGAGCGACAGAGAATTTAATATCGGACTCCAGTCATCCATTTTCACCCGGTCCGTGGTGAAATCTAAACAGTGGGGCAGAGTCACGCAGATGACCGGCAGTGGACGTAGCCGTTGTTGCCTGCACAGCTCCATGTAGCAGTTGGCGAAATTTCTGCTATTCGGAATCGCCATCTTTGACGCTGGAACGGACAGTGGTGCGTCCACCATGCCTCCACGTCTTGTTAACGTCTTTGAGTTCGGTGGCAACGTGATGACTGTTGTTACCATTCAAAGATGTTGATTCCTAAATGATAAATTAAAAAATTTACACGGTATCAACTTTTAGATTCGCGAATTTGTCATTTTTGAAATTTTGGGAAATATTGGTTGTTTCACGTAATGCAAATAATATTCACCTTCGTATTTGCTGCCTCGTTGGTACGTTAACCACAATTTTTCCACACACCGTCATCTGCGCATTTAGCTTTTCCAACGATCCCGATGGAAATCGTTTTCGACGTAACAAACAAGGTATAAGACCACAAAAAACGAAAATCGCGTTCCTATCTCCTGGTTTGCGACGGTTCTCGCCCACCTACCTAGCCGAAATCGCTAAAACGAAATTCCTACGCGACATACGCTGAATATATGCAAACAAAACTCGCATTGGTGCGAGTTAAAGTTGCAGCGAATCGTGTATATCGATACTGTTTCCTGAGTCTTTAATTTATTGTTCCATGAAATTCATAAATTATATTCGTTTTGATTCAAATGATTTATAATCGTCGTCTTGAAATTCTTGCTGGGAAAATGCTACGAATTTATTTAACGAGGTTTCTGTATGCATGATTTTTCAGACCACCCGTATCTCTGGCTATGGCAAGATACACGACACCATTACCTCTGCCTACGGTTGCCCCCACAACAAATTCGGCAAATCCTCCTACACCTCCTCGCCAGGATAACGAAGACGGTACTTGTCAGTTTTCCTTTTATATTTCCTAATTTATTGAGACATAGTTTCACTTAAAAATTTTTTACTATTACAAGAAATTTAACTCTAGTTATAAAACAAATCATTTGTATTTTAAAGTGAAGTAATATGAAAATTAATCTGTCACAAGTGTAATATACATAAAATAAATAACATCACTTTTACGATATGTTTGTAATATTTTATTGATGAAAGAAATTATTGATTTTAATGAAATACAACATCAATCAAATGGATTTAAAATTTAATGCTTTTTAATTATTCAACTGATAAGTATTTTCTATGTTCCCTTCAAGCAATTTTTCTGAGGATGATCGTCAACGATGATTTCTGATTCTGTTCGATAGGGAATGCTTCGGAAGACAGCATAGACGTGACGAACGAGGAACCATTAACACCTCAAAGAAGTGGTTGCACGCAAATACCACCTGTGATCCCGTCGTTGTATTCGCCTGCGAGCGCTGAAACGGTGTACGAAACCAGCGCGAGGTTACTCTTCATGGCGGTTAAATGGGCCAAGAATCTTCCCTCTTTCGCGAGTTTGCCTTTCAGAGATCAGGTACCATTTTCAAATTTCACTTCTTGTATTTCAAATTTGTTGATGTATAGGAAAACTATATCCCCACGAGTTTTGAAGTCTATGTACTGATATATATTTTTAACTTCTGTGTGTTGTTAATAAATATTGCAAACATCGAAATTTATAAATATATGATCTTAAAATTTTCAAATTCCTTGATTCCTATATTTCCTAATCTCGAAATCCCCTAATTGTCAAGTCTCCAAGTTTTAAACTTCACAATCTATGTTAAACTTCATAAATAAACTTCATTACTTCATAAATTTTAAACTTCATATCTCCGTATCTTAACATCCCAAAAGTTTAATATTCACAAATATTCATATCTCCACATCCTAAAGTCTGCAAATCTTAAATTCCCTGAACCTTCAAATCACAGAACCTTTACATCTACATACAGGTCATCGTATTCCTAAATCCTTATATCTTCAAATTTTCATATCACCAAATCGTCGTATCCCCAAATCCTGATATCTTCAGATTCTTCCTCATATTTCTAAATCTCCCAATCCACATATTACCATATCCCTAAGTCCTCATATTTCCAAATCCTCATAGTCCCAAATCCTCATATGCCCAAATCCTCATATCCCCAACTCCTCATATCCCTAAGTCCTCATATTTCCAAATCCTCATAGTCCCAAATTCTCATATGCCCAAATCCTCATATCCCCAAATCCTTATATCCCCAAATCCTCATATGCCCAAATCGTCATATCCCCAAATCCTTATATCCCCAAATCCTCATATGCCCAAATCCTTATATCCCCAACTCTTCATATCCCCAACTCCTCATATCCCCAAATCCTCATATGTCCAAATCTTCATAGTCCCAAATCCTCATATGCCCAAATCTTCATATCCCCAAATCCTCATATGCCCAAATCCTCAAATCCCCAAATCCTCATATCCCCAAATCCTCAAATCCCCAAATCCTCATATCCCCAAATCCTCATATCCCCAAATCCTCATATCCCCAAATCCTCATATCCCCAAATCCTCATATCCCCAAATCCTCAAATCCTCATAAGTCCTCATATTTCCAAATCCTCATAGTCCCAAATCCTCATATGCCCAAATCCTCATATCCCCAACTCCTCATATCCCCAAATCCTCATATGTCCAAATCTTCATAGTCCCAAATCCTCATATCCCCAAATCCTCATATCCCCAAATCCTCATATCCCAAATTCCCCATATCCCAGAATCCCTATATCCCTAACTCCTCATATCCTTCTATTTCGAATTATACAAAACACTGAAAAGCAAATAGTAAATCAAAAAAATAATGCTCATGTGCGATAGGTGATACTACTCGAAGAAGCCTGGTCGGAGCTTTTCCTCTTGAACGCAGTGCAGTGGTGCCTTCCACTCGAATCATCGCCCCTTTTCAACTCCGCAGAACTTACTGCTCTAACTTTATCACCGCATCCGCACCCCCACCCTGGGATCCACATGCAAACCACCACCGGAAAGCCGAGTCAGGTGGCGGCAGATGTGAGGCATCTGCACGATACTCTGCAGAGATACAAGGCCGTCATGGTCGACCCTGCGGAATTCGCTTGCATGAAAGCCATTGTCTTATTTCGGCCAGGTTAGTATTGCAAAGTCTATTCAAAACAAACTATATTCATCTTTTATACAATTTATAATAATCAATATTTAGAGTTATATTTGTAGTTATATTCATAGTAGATATTTATAGTAATGAAACTGCGAATGTTTACAGATTTATGTATCAAGTAAACTTTGATGTTTGTAAAGTTGGGGTGAATCATTTAAATCTAAGTTTGAGATCTAATTTTACTTTATAGATATTTATTATAGTCTTAATTACATTTCACAGACTTTGATATAGACAACACAATACATATAATTACTTATGTACAAAAGTATAATTATATGCAAGTATATAATTGGCAGTGTTAGGATACATTTTACTCAGTCTGCTCTTCATTGCTTACTCTTCCATTTTCCTTTTCGTTGTATAAAGAACAGGTTAGATGTCTCATGATATGTCAGGAACAGGTTATATTAATTATTAAACCAGAGTAAATTGTTTCTTATGTGGTCCTGTTATTTTCTTCGTTACAACTCATCAAGAGTAGATACAGATATATTCAACAGCAGAAGCCACCAAAATAAATTACTTGAATTTTATTTAGCACATAGAAATATATTCAACAGCAGATTACACCAGAATTATTTGACTTTTTTTTGTTACTTCTTGCAACAACAAGAATTGATTATGTTTGCGTTCAAAATGTTCTTGATTGTTGCTGCAGAGACCCGTGGCCTGAAGGATTCCAGTCAAATAGAGAACCTGCAGGATCAGGCCCAAGTGATGCTAGGACAACACGCCAGGGCGCAGCAGCCAGCTAGTCCAGCACGCTTCGGAAGACTGTTGCTGTTGTTGCCGTTGTTGAGGACAGTGCCAGCATCGAGGGTGGAGTTGATATATTTTCACAGAACGATCGGCAACACTCCAATGGAGAAAGTATTGTGCGACATGTACAAAAATTAAGGGATCTTCAGCATTGTTGGATAAAATGTTTCGATTCTTGTACAGTGATGCGTTCGAAGTTTCGTGGTGTCGAGAGTTGTTTAGATAAAATGTTCGATTGATTGAGGAGTACAAATGGTAAACGATGCAAGTGCCAAAGAAATATAAAGCAACATTTTGGTGGATCGAGGTATTTCGTAAGGTGAAGAATTAATAGAAATCGTAATTATAGAGCCAAAATCGTTAGTGACATTGTGAAAAATAAAAGTGCCAAGGTCGATTTAATTGAATCACGAAGAAAAAATCAGTGCAGTGTACTGAAACTATCAAGATGGTAAATGTTAAAAACATAAACGTTTGAGTGACAAATGTAAATGACAAAGTGGAGATACGGTTTTTATTTCCAGTGAAAACGTTTATGGCACATATATCGCTTACCACTCCAACCATTGGCTAGCTAAGTGTTGGGGTGGGTTCGGAACATTATTTTACTGATAGTGTCAGCATTTGGGATTGGATGTGATCCAGTCATATGTGGTGATTTGGACATTCGACAATGTAGAAATTTGGGAAAATTTGGAATTCGATATTTTGAGGTTGAAGGGTAACTATATGGAAATTTGAGTACTTGTGAATTTGGGAATTCGAGGACTTAGTTCGCTTCGATGGAAATTTGGGAATATAGAAATTTGAGAAGGTGGAAATTTGAGAATGTAGTAATTTGGAGATCTGGAAATTTGAAAAGGTGGAAATTTGAGAAGGTGGATATTTGAGAAGGTGGAAATTTGGAAAAGTCGAAATTTTAGAAGGTGGAAATTTGGGAATGTGGAAATTTGAGAAGGTGAAAATTTCAGAATATAGAAATTTGAGAAGGTGGAAATTTGGGAATGTAAAAATTTGAGAAAGTGGAAATTTGAGAATGTAGAAATTTGAGAAGGTGGAAATTTGGGAATGTGAAAATTTGAGAAAGTGGAAATTTGAGAATGTAGAAATTTGAGAAGGCGGAAATTTGAGAATATAGATATTTGGAGATCTAGAAATTTGAAAATCTAGAAACTTGTAAATTTGTGAATTTGGAAATTTGCAAAAAAAGAAATATAACTGCTTACAAATGTCAAAATTTAGAGAAGACTCCCACCCTAAACTCAAACTTAGTTAGGCCAATGGTTTCAACTTTTCAATGAACCGTTCATTCATACTAAAATAAGATTATCGAACTCATGATTCAGCAACGCTTGAATCGTTATAAAGTTAAACGTACCACAATTAGGATTACTCGAGATCTTTTTGTAATATTGACTTCTAATTAAGTATATATAAAAAGAAGAGAGAAATAAGAAAGACTTCTTTCTGCGAAAGAATCGATAGCAAGAAGAACGTGGACGAAGTTAGAGGACTTTCGATGATCGAACCCAGAAATTAGAGAATAAATAAGCAATCGTGCTGACCAAATAATCGAATAGAATCGATCGTTTCTACATGTGCGATAGTTTTGGCCTAAGGACGAAGCCCCAAGCATGACCCTTTAATCAATTCACGATCTCGTCTGGTGATTTCTTTTTTCCACCAGATCGAGATCGACTAACGAAGGAAACTTTGAGAAAGGTAACGAATCGACATCTATGATGTTTAGTTAATCATTCAACGGTATCTAAGTCAAAGAAACTCTTAGTTTCGACGTAAAAGAGGAAATATATATATATATACATACATTTATTTATTATAGTGACGTTTATCGAACATTAGGTTCGACAGTTTTTCGGTTCTAGCCTCAAAATATTTGAACTTCAAATTTCGCTGAAAGCGTGAGAATTATTTACTTATTTTTCGTTGTTTCTGGTATTATTTGTATCGTTGAGTAAGGTAAGATTTTCAATGTACGAGTAACCGATATGAATTATCGAACAGCTGTAACAAAAAATGATACTCGTCTGTGCTTTTCTTGTATATTTCGTGTTGTGATACTATTTGCTGTAAAAGTCTAGATAATGAGTCACGTGAAGTATATTGTAACGACTACGTAACCACTTGTAATAAAAGTACACATAAGAATCGTACAATTTTCGTTTACCTTTCATTTAGAACTATTTACAAATTTCACTTACATAATTACTGTGACGTAATGGATCTTTGGATAATTTATGGATGAATTAAATCTCATTTAATTTTAGTAATTTCTTTAAAATGGGAGAAGTTTGGAGGCTTTGAATTTTGGGATGTTGGAGTGTGGATTTTGGGATATTGGAAACTTGGAAAGCAACCTTCAAATTTTCGGGGATTTTAGAAATCGGGAACTTTAGAAATTGGTGTCTGATTTTGGGGATTTGCAAGTTTGGAAGTTTAAGAACATGGGATTTGAAAATTTAGAAATTTAGAAATTTGGGTGTTTGAAGCTTTGAGATATTGACGATTTTGTATTTCGTAAATTTGGGAGTATAGAAATTTGGAGACCTGGAAATTTGAGAAGGTGGAAATTTGGGAACATAGTTATTTGGAGATCTGGAAATTTGAGAATGTGGAAATTTGAAAATGTGGAAATTTGAGAAGGTGGAAATTTGGAAATCTAGAAATTTGAGAAGGTGAGAATTCGAGAATGTGGAAATTTGAGAAGGTGGAAATTTGGGAACATAGTTATTTGGAGATCTGAAAATTTGAGAAGGTGGAAATTTGAGAATGTGGAAATTTGAGAATGTGGAAATTTGAGAAGGTGGAAATTTAGGAATGTAGAAATTTGAGAAGGTGGAAATTTAAGAAGGTAGAAATTTGAGAAGGTGGAAATTTGAAAATGTGGAAATTTGAGAAGGTGGAAATTTAAGAAGGTAGAAATTTGAGAAGGTGGAAATTTGAAAATGTGGAAATTTGAGAAGGTGGAAATTTAAGAAGGTAGAAATTTGAGAAGGTGGAAATTTCAGAATGTAGATATTTGGAGACCTAGAAATTTGGAAATATAGCAATTTGAAAATCGGTGTATCGGTATATCGGGATCTTAGAATTTTGGCACTTCAAAGTTTCTAATTCAAAAATTTGTAAATTTGAGAATTTAGAAGTTCAAAAATTTCTGAACTCTAAGTTTCCATATTTTTGAATATAAAACTTGAAAATTCAAAAATCAGTTTCAAACATACTTTGATTCCATAAAATCGGAAACAAGTCCTCCTCTTCTCCAAAGAAAGTCTACATTGCCAAGTGTGTCTACATCACACCCTATACTCTTAATTTCTGTTTATTTAGCGTAGGGTGAATCCCGTCGAATCGAAATTTGACTTGCTACACGCCTGTTAGCATCCGACGCCCACGTCGGAATCACGGTGGTTGTTGCATAAACGTACATATTTATTTATCACCGTATAATCCCTGACTTCCCCTCGGGGGTTTTGCCACATGGCAGTTTGACGATCCCCAAAGGAATTACCCCTCGGTCGCTTATAAATTACACCGAGGTTCGAGCAAGGTTTAAGGGCCTGCTTAAGTTGTCAAAGCAATCGGAGAGTTAAACGCCCTGGCACGGGGGCGAAACACCCTTAATACTTTTTCGATCGGAATGCTTCTTTAAGTTCGGGCCTCCATGAAAATCGTTCTTTTTCATTTATTCTCTCGTATGACTCTTTTGTGCGAACGTCATGCGTGAACTATATGAGCTTTTCTAATTTACAAGCCTTATGTAATGAATCAGCATGTAGATTTCAGGTTTTTATTAGTAGTAAATTATTTTTGATTAAATTATTGGTAGTTTTATATATATACATATACATATATACATATACATAGGGTTTTGCCACATGGCAGTTTGACGATCCCCAAAGGAATTACCCCTCGGTCGCTTATAAATTACACCGAGGTTCGAGCAAGGTTTAAGGGCCTGCTTAAGTTGTCAAAGCAATCGGAGAGTTAAACGCCCTGGCACGGGGGCGAAACACCCTTAATACTTTTTCGATCGGAATGCTTCTTTAAGTTCGGGCCTCCATGAAAATCGTTCTTTTTCATTTATTCTCTCGTATGACTCTTTTGTGCGAACGTCATGCGTGAACTATATGAGCTTTTCTAATTTACAAGCCTTATGTAATGAATCAGCATGTAGATTTCAGGTTTTTATTAGTAGTAAATTATTTTTGATTAAATTATTGGTAGTTTTATATATATACATATACACATATACATATGCATATACATATACATATACATATACATATACATATGTATACATTACCTATAATCCATATATAGATATATATTATTTTTAATTATGAATATAACTATTTTTATATTTGAAAAAATTGGAGCTAATTTTTAAACTTGAAAGTAGCAGAAAGATCGAATCTCTCAACACTCTTCGAGGTTAACTTTTGTTAAAATAATTAAATATGAAATTAACGAAACTTACGTCAATTGTGACTATACCGAAATTTAAATTAATTAACACAGACGAAAAATTGCGAGAATCGTTCGAAGCGATCGGCAATAATAAAAAATCGACACGAGAAGAAAACAGGGACGAAATGGTCGTCGATACCATTTTGGAATTGAATTCCGTTCGGTTCATGTTCGATTCGATTCTGAAACACGCGTTTGCTTCGTGACGCCGGGAGCTTTCGAGTCGAGCGTCCTCGTGCTGCGACACGTAACGAATTTCGATATCCCACGGTTCGAGCACAAAGAGAGAAAGGGGTGGAAAGGTGACGCGGGTTACCGAGAGGGTATTCAGAGGGAGGCTGGTCATGGTATTGACTCGCTTTTGCGGATGCAGGGGCGGAGTTTTCGACCTCTTCCCTCAGCTCCTCCGCCCTCCTATCACTCTTCATCTCGCTTTCTTTTTCCTTCTTCCCCGTGCTTTCTCCCTATAAATATACTCTACCTCGTACCCTCGATCAGCTTCCTCCGACAAACAGCATCCCTCTGCTTTCTTTTTCTACCCCTACCGATCAGATCGTGTTTCCTTTTTTCGTCTCGCGAACTACGACCCTCTTTTTCTCGCCGTTCCGTTTCTGTTCCTCTTTCGACTCCCACCAACGAGAAAACCCGGACGCTCGGGGTCGAAAGGGGATGACTCGTCGCACAGGGCTGTCAAACCCCCACCCACGCAACGACAAAACTCCCGTTGAAGGGTGACCCAGCAATGGCGGCGGGACTTGTTGTATTTCGCTTTCGAGGTGAGCTCCATTCCCTTCTACCTTCTCGATTCTCGTTCCAACCCCTCCACCCCGTGGCTGGAACAGGCTGAGAGGGTTGGCTGAAATGAAACTGAGTGGCCTGGAGTGAGGAACCTCGACGAGCCGGAGCGAACGAGACGGAGGAATCGAAAGTGTTCGAGCACGACGAGGAACGAAGAGGGTAGCTCGACCAGGAACACCGGGGACGCACGGCGGAGGAAACGAGAGTCTATATCGCTCGGAAACAGCAACCTCCATTTATTTTATTACATTATCATACCAACTACGCGCTCGATAAGTGGGGCTTTAAAGCGACGGTTCTCAAATCGTTTCGCGTGAAACTTTTGCACTCCGAACCTGGCGATCTTCTAAGCCGACTGCTCGTTTCACGGAAAAAGGAAGCCGGAAGTTAATTGCTTTCCATTCGGAAAAATCGATCGACTTCCTCTTACATGATCTTTTAACATATCTTTCTTTAAATCACTCTTTGTCGTTTATGGTAATTATACTGTTTGTGCAAATTCAAGTTTGAAATATATATTTTTGAAGTGTTTATTAATTGGTATTTTTTAACCCCAAATTGTAACAAACGAAAAATCTTGTCATTTTTAGTATTGACATTGATGATTGTTTTAAACAGTAACAATTTTAAAATAATACAATACTAACTTCAGCTATATTCATTTTATTTATATTAATTTTAATGTGGTACTGCAGTATGTACACATTTTATCACGACACTATATATTAGACTTCTTATAAAAACTTCCGCGATAAATTTATTTTAGTATTTCAAAAAAGAATAATATCAAGGGTTACATTTATTGTACTTCGTTTGAATATCCAAGTTAGGTAAATTAAATAAATAAAATAAGGGATGAACCCTCTATATACTAATTAAGGATTATAACCGTAATTCTTCAATCGTACAATTTAAAGATGAAATATGTAAACTTTGAAAAATTTAACGATGAAAAAGGTGAACAATCGCGGTGACAATAAGCGTGTCTGATTTGAGCGAAATTCGAGGGGTGGAAAAAAGATCTGACGCGTTTGTTCGCGAACGAATCAGAGCGAATTATTCAGCCGTTAAGTTGGATTAAAAGCAAAGGCAACGACGTACGTATTTCTCGTCGCGAACCGTTGTCATTTAATGATCATCGATTATCGCGACGAATTTAAATTTAGCACGCGCATAATCACGCCGCGTTTCGAAGGTTTGTCACTGTGAGCATGCGAACAATTTAATTGAAAACAAGCATTCAATCCACAGATGTTTACACCCTTTCGTTTGACAAACGCCGAACAAAATAATTATAATTTACCGTGGTAGCACGCTATCGAATCCTAATTACTGTATGCTCATATCGAATTTCTAATTAACGATTCTACGAGCGTGTTCGTACTTTTACAATGTTCTAATTCCATCAGATTTTAATAACTAATATTTGCTTCATTTCTTCTCCAACTTCAGATATAATTAATTTACTGAAATTATAATTTGTTCTTAGTTTCATAATTAATTATACATAATCTATAATTTATTGATCTTTTAATGTTGATCTTTGTGGATTTATTGCAAACTTTTAAATACTTCATTAAAATTTTAATATTATATTTCTTGCTTTGTAGTGTCTAAAATTAATAAATAAAAATATTAATTTTCTTCTATTATCTTTGATTATTATCTCTTGATTATCTTGTATAATCATTTACACATAAAACATTACAAGTTTATAACAAATTACAAAAATTACAAGTTTACCTTTTACACTGAAGCGTATCATTGCTGTTTATTATTTTTTATTACCTTTTTAGTAACTAAATATTATCAAAATGTTAAGTAAAATAAAATTTTGCATTATTCTAATTACTTCGAAACAGCAGAATTTCGCGGACATCATTTTTCACCGAAAATTTATTACTAGCAATAAAAAGTGATATCCCCACGGTTCATGTCTTGTAGGAATAGTCCATTACGATTTGCAGGGGAGCTCCGAAAAGAATCCCTGGGAATTTTTCATCGGGGCCATCTCGAACTCCAGAATTCGTCGGGTTGGCTGACGTTTAAGAAATCTGATTTTCTTCTCACGTAGATCGGAGGATTACCCGAGTATTCGCCTTCGACCAGGCCGACCACTTCATTTTGGATATCCACAAACAACAGACGATTCATCCCATTGATCCTTTTGTTTTTCCCTTCTTGAAACTTTGTCCTTTTCGCTCGTCACGCGAACGAAATATGAAGTCATTCCTTTTTTAAATAAATTCAAAACCAAGTTGACTGTCGAATTTTTTAAAGAAAATAAAATGAACAAAAATTGTATTAATCGATTAAGTAGTGAAACCAAACTTAAACCTGCACCAAAAATACTTGAAATAACAAGGGTTGTATATTACATAGAACAACATGCGTTATGATTATTTATATTTATATATACATATATTTATTTATATGTCATTACATATGTAATTGCTATACAGTCACATGTTTTATTTCATAATAATTTCAATAGCCACCAAAATTATTTGAACATCTGTACAGTATAACTTCATAACAATATTACATCTGTACAATATAGCTTCATAACAATATAACATCTGTACAATACATCGTCAGATCTTTTTATAACAAAGAAGTTATGCAACGAAGAGATATCAAGAGAATGGTATAGAACAAAGGAAATAATTCTATGTTCTCGAAAATAGTCATTCGAATTGCATAATAGTTCCTAAAGGATGGTGTGTGTGTCAGTTGTTCAATAACCGATTGACACCGCGAATGACATAAGCGTAAAGAGATATTTGTAAACGAATGCTTCTGCGAAATGAAGCTACATCGGTCAGAGGAAACTGTCGGACCATCTTCACCCCTTGTCCTCCCTTATTCCTCCCTCTAACCTCCCTTTCCCGTAAAATCAATAGGTGCGTCGGCGTCCAGCACGCTAGGAATTCTGCTATATAACCTCGAGCGATTAACTAAAATCGATCAAACGCGACGCGCGTCGAATGCAATGAAATAAACCATCGACTCTGAAGGGACACTAGAAGACATTCGAGAAATATTCGTGACGTAAAGTCTTTCTAATACATCTCTAATGTCTGATACATCTCTAATGTCTAATACATCTTGTGTACATAATATTCTTTTAATTTTATACACGCATCAAATTTATATGAAACTATAAAAAGCAATAATACGTTATAGATATAGTTTGTACCATTAGCGTGATAATAATTATTTTTTCGAGGGAGTAAAATATTTTTGCGACTATTTGTCTAATTACTGTCATTTCCAGTCGACTAATATTTAAGTCGCGTGCCGACAGTTTGTCAACCGTGAAGCTGTACGAGTAGTCAGTCCTTTGTCTCTTTTTCGAATTAATTTCAAGGACGAGGACCTTTGTACTTGGCGAGGGTTCTTACGTCGTGTCGAGCAAACCCAATTTGCGTTTAAACAAGGAGCATCTTCGCATAACTTAGCGTTGCGTGAAATCCAACGTCAAAGGGAGGAAACTTCTCTTTTTAAGCTCCTCGACCTCGAAGGATTTAGAGAACTTCAAAGACGCCTCGGATCGAGAAGAGTGCGATGGATTTCGGGTTCGAGAACAGATTTCACGAACGAACGGCGGAAAGATATTCAATTATTATTTATGAGCGTTCTGAGTAAATATTCGATTATTCGTAAATTGAATGGAGAGATTGTGGTTGTTGGAGTTGGAGAGTAATTTGGATTGGGGGATGTTTGGGAATTTGGGGAGGTGGAGATTTCAGAATTTGGGGATAGCAGGTTTTGAGATTTGAGAGGTTGGGAACTTGAAAGGTTGGGGGTTTGAGAGGTTGGGAACTTGAAAGGTTGGGGGTTTGAGAGGTTGCGAAAGTTATGGATTTGGAGATTTGAGAATTTGGAAATTTGAAAGTTTGGGGATTTGAGAATTTAGGTATTGAGAATTCGGGGATTTGAGAATTGGGGTATTTGAGAATTTGGGGATTTGAGAATTTGGGGATTTGAGACTTCGGGTATTTGAGAATTCGGGGATTTAAGAATTTGGAGATTTGAGAATTTGGAGATTTGAGAATTCGGGGTTTTGAGAATTTTGGGGACTTGAGAATTGGGGCATTTGAGAATTTGGAAATTTGAGAATTCGGGAATTTGAGAGTTCGGGGATTTGAGAATTTGGATATTTGCGATTTCAGGTATTTGAGAATTCGGGGATTTGAGAATTTGGGGACTTGAGGACTTGGGATCTTAAAAATTTTGGAATTTAAGGATTTAGAAATTTATTTATTTTGAGACTTTAGAATTTGGAAATTTGAGGACTAACATTCATAATTTAGAAACCTCTAAATAACTACAATATCAACAATCTGTAAGAAGGTTCTACTATATACTGTCTGTAGATAACAAGTGTCAGTAAAGTAGCAATCTGTATAAAAGCACTTGGTATCATTGAAATTACATCACAGCGCCAATATTGCTAGAAATTAAAATTATAAATTTTGATCGATTCAGTAAATGAAAATTGCAAAAATATACCCTTTCTTAACATATTAATCAATAAAATCAGTTTTAATCGAATTTTTATAAAAATAGTACAGGCAGCGCCATCTCTCAGGCGAACGGAATGAACTACACTCTTTTGAAACTGTAACTTAATTAGTCCGCACCTTTTACCACTAGATGGCAGGGCATAAGACCAAAATCCTTAAGCTAACTACGATTAGCCTAGGAAGAGTTAAAAATTGATAATTGCTTGGTAAAAACAATTTGAAGTCAATCGGTGTTGCACTCTGATATAATTCGATTCATATTATAGTGAATTAAGATGATAAAATCAACTATATTAGTTGAGTTGAACAAAAAAAAAAAAAGTATACTCGTGGCGCCATCTAGTGGCAGAGTATGAGAACTAATGAAACTACAGTTTCAAACACATATAGTTCACCCCGTTTGTTGAAGAGATGACGCCACTTGTTTAATTTTTGCAATAATTCAATTAATATTGATTTTATTGCCTTAATTTATTATCACATGCATCAAATTACGTCCATGTGAATGACTAATTAATTTCGAAATGCATATTACAGTAAATTAAGCCAATAAAATTAATATGAATTGAATTTTAATTAATTAAGGTTGAAAAAATTTTGTATACATTTAATTTTAATATTAATTGAAGTAATATCAATTTTTTACGAATAAATAAACAATCATATGATATTAAAATACAATTTAGATAATATTCGACGTTTATTTACTTTTTTAAAAAACCCCATTGCATTCAAGTTCTTCTTACTTTCGCAGTAATTAAATAACAAGTTGCATCAGGAATTTTCACTGTGCATTAGTTTGAACTCGAACATTCAAGTTTATCATATTTTCATATTTTCGTACACTTTAGACGATTTTCTCTGTTTACTAACATGATCGTATAAATGTGGGCTTCTGTTTGGAAGAACGCAATCGATGTTAGTCACGTTTTGATCTCGTTCTGAAACTTGAAGATCTTTCCCTGCATTTTCGGAGTACCTTTCGTTGTTCAGCTGCGAACTCTGCTTTCCTGATCCTGGCATGGTTTCTAAAATTCGAGACGATTTCCGGACGAACAAACGTGTTTTACAGACTACTAGAACTACTATTATAATCATCAGAAACAACGTGAGAGCTGTCAGTGCACCCACTATCCACCCCAGCTTTTCATCTACAACAATCGAGTAAAAATTAGAAACTATTAAGATTTATTAAGAATCTATTTTATTTATTTATTAAGATTGATTAAGAACTTATTTTATTTGTTTATTAAGATTTATTCAGACTTATTAAGAAATATTTAAAAAAATTTAAGATTCATAATTTCTATAAATTTTAAATAGTACGAGTCAAAAGCAAAACTCGTCAATTATATATTTGCACAAAATGCAAAATGAATTACGGTACACGGTTGCTCTGATTACAACAAATTAATTAGCAAATTAATTAGAAAGATTGAAATATTTGTAAGAGTTGCAAAATTCGATTAATTCGAACCTTAAAAATAAGTTTCTAATCTCTCAATTTTTAAATTTGAGATTTTTTTAATATCCCAACTTTTACTAAATTTGAGAATCTTTTAATCTCCCAATGTTTAAATATGAGAATATTTTAATATCCCATTTTTTAAGTTCGAGAATTTTTTAATATCCCAACTTTTATTAAATTTGAGAATCTTTTAATCTCCCAATTTTTAAATATGAGAATTTTTTAATATCCCATTTTTTAAATTTGAGATTTTTTTAATATCCCAACTTTTATTAAATTTGATAATCTTTTAATCTCCCAATTTTTAAATATGAGAATTTTTTAATATCCCATTTTTTAAGTTCGAGAATTTTTTAATATTTCAAATTTCAAACTTGAGAATTTTGTAATCTCCCAATTTTTAAATTTGAGAACTTTTCATTATTTACAAATATAACAAATATGAAATGATACATACTTCCTAAACTATTTAACAAAAGAATAGAAGTGCTCCCAACTTCCTCCTCCGAATTTTCTTTCGAAACAATAAAGCTGCATATCCACTGTCCTAAATCCGTATGATCTGGCTTGAACTCCAGCATACACACCCCCGTTCTGCGATCCATTTGCAAATTGTACCTAAGAATATAACAGCAAGGTCACCACATTCAATTTCATGCACAAATAAACACTCACCTTCTGCTTTTACTCGTATTTTGATAAATATGAGTCTTAGGTGGATGTATCCAACGGCACTCTACGTCCGACAACATCTTTTCAACTTTGCATGTAAGAACGACGGTTTGATGGGGCGATGCCCACAATGCCATGGACACTGGCTCTAAAAACCATGAATTCTTTAGTAATCGATTCCTTTCTTCGTCGTTTCTTCCTCCATGAAAATGAACGTTGATCGACGATGTGCATTGAGTGCTCGGTGTACAAGCAATGTTCCATTTTCTGCTACAAAATTGTGGAAATACGTGTTGATGTATGTGTTGATGTGTACGTGTATGCAGCGTGATGTGTGTCGTTTAAAACAGTCCAGTGTTTCTAATTTGTGATTTAGACTTTTTTAAACGTTCAGCATGATGTTGCAGAGTGTATGTGTTTGTTAGTAATGGGTTGCGAGAAAAGCCACAATGACATTTTCGTATTACCATTTATTCAAAGAAATCGTTTACAATGCCGGAAAGAGTGACGCTGAAACGCGCAAGAAATTCTCGATTCGCTCGCTTTGGAAACTTAACAAGTATCTCAATGGCACACGAAGGTATTTAATTAATTAACTTCAAACGAAAGCGTTCTACGTTTGATTATTGCACGCTGTATGATCGCTGTAATGTGACAGTTGTTTACGACTAAAGATTAGCGAACGATTCTTTCTGGACCTTCTTATGCGCCATTTTCGGTCCACTCGTGAAGGTTAGGTTGTGTATTAGATATTTGGAAATTTGAGGATTCAGTTAGGTTAGCAAACATTTGGTTAGGTTAGCCTTTAAACTTTCTTAGCAAATCAAATTTTCAAAACCCAATTTATAAATTTTCAAATTTTTGTACATAAAAATTTCTGTGATCTTAAATTTCTGTGGTACTAAAGTTTCAATAGCAAAATTTTAAGTTTCCAAATTAAAGAAGGTGCAAAATTACGAATTTTCAAACTTGGAATTCTTGAATCCCCAAATTCTGAGATCCTCGAATTTTCAAGTATAAATTCTGAAATTCCGAATTTTATAAATACGTAAATTCTCAAGATAAAGCTTGAAGTTTCCAAATCTCTAAATCCCTGAATTTCCAAAATTTATGACTCTCAAATTTCTAAAATTTCTAAATCCTCAAGCTCTCAAAATCCCAAGCGTCTTAATACAATCTCAAAATCCGAAATTCTGAAATTCCCAAATTTCCAAATTTCCAAATACCTAAATTTCTAATTCTCTATATTCTGAAGCCATCAATTTTACTTCCCCAATTTTTCAAATAACAAAAACTGTTGAATAAATAATAATTGAGTGGACAAATCGATAAACATCGCAAAGATCTCCAATCTACAAAACGTCACATTTTCCTAAATACAATACATTTTACCGATCGATTCGCAAATCTCAAACGGACGCTTGCAAGAATTGTCTACTTAGCGTTAATTTTAGCATACAGCTGAGTATAATGAATATATAGTAAGTGCGTATTATTCTAAATAAAATAAACCTGCTTCATCATGGATTGTAAATTGACTTCTCTTTTCGCCTAGTAATACACGTGACTACGAACTTGCGATTCGTGAACAGCCTCCTGACGTGTCTAAATTAACACGAGTTAGCCGAACGATCTACTTCGCTTAACAAATAAATATTCTTAGCCTTAAAATACTCCATGCGTAGTCTTTTTAAATAATTAGTAGCTAACGCGCTTTGAGGTTAGCGCGAACTTCCATCTCGCTCCCGCGACATTTAGGAAAATTCTGTCGTTCAAAACGAGACCCAAATATGGTCGCTTTGAAAAAATTCTCGAATTCACTGAAAGTTTGCTTTTACGGATCAAACTTTTTCTTTCGTGAACGAGGACTTTTTCGAAGTTTCCCTGTCAATAATGACTTTCGATAATAAATAACACGAGGAATGAGAATAAGTGCAACGGCAGAGTACTCATGGGTCTGTACACTGCCCGGCATAGCAGAATTTCCTAGCGAAAATGGTGTCATAGCAAAACTGTTAGATTAGGTTTAATCAGAGTGATATAGGAAGAGAGTATTTTAGCTCCGCCATTTTCTTTAGGAAAATCTAGCATGCTCGGTAGTGTACACTTATGTGCAGTGCCTCCATTTGGATAGAAATGCGTGTAGGCAGAAAAGTCCTTGAAAGTACCTCGAAAAGTACTTAATTTCTAAATCTTCAAATTTGCAAAATTTGTGGGAGTTTGAAAATCAACTTCTACACTAGTTCATACCCAAAAAGCCTATTGCACCCAAGTGTACAACACGGTTTTGCGAATTAACGCTACTATGTTAAATGCGAAATCATTTGAGCGTAGACCTACCGTTGAGCATATAAATAAGAGAGGGTGAACGACATTGAGTGATAGATGTTAACGATAGTTCTTTCGAAACGACGTCCAAAAGAGTACACATTTTCCGAAACAGTTTAGTGAGCACATGTAGCCACGGAAAGTATGCCTGACACACAGCAGTTAATGAGACTGAAAATACTTGTCACTGGTGGTACACTTGTTAGACATGTTATTTCTTCTAATGACACGTGTGATTTGCGGTGAAAATTAACGAGCGATCTGTCGTTAATTGCCAGGCGTAACAGCACCGAGGCACAACGCTTTAAATCTACGCGTTCGAATCGTAAAATGTTTCGACGATAAATTAGAATCTAATACTAATGCAAGTGTGACGTACACAGTAACACTTTGCGAGCAAGGAATTTGAAAGATTCCTTGCGATAAAAAAACGAGTCCACGAATAACAATTAAAAAAGAATATTATAATAATACTTGACAGAGAACGCCATCTTGAGTCAACCTTAAACGAACGTAACTACGTCCTCGTCAGTGTTTCTGCATACAAAGTGACACACGAATGTAAGTACACATTGTTTCGAAGCTGAGAACGTCATGCAGATTCCATCACCATAGTGATGCCTTCACCAGTCTTCGGGGAATCCTGACGTGATTAATTCCGTGTCTATCCAGATCAATGTTTTCACCCTTAATACGGATTCCTCTAATCGTAAGATTCGCGACAGGTATCGCATGATAACGATTTCATTGGACACTTTGAAAGTCACCGATGCTTCGGTGTCCAGTGACGTTCTTCTATGCAGTATCGATCACAAACGTTAGCGTTTGTTACGTGATACATCATGTATACACGATGCGCAGGATGAGTCATTCATTGTTTGGGTGTTTAAGTATAGATAATTGCAATCATAGTGACTACAGTGAATTTGTTTAATTTCGATTAATAGGTAGACTGGAACTCGTAGATTTCCACTAGCGAGATGTTGTTTAATGTGATAATTATATTTGGATCTTGACAGTCATTGACGTAATTAGGATTTTCTGAGGGAGAACAATGTTAGTTCAAAACGCATTGGAATTCTGTGCGTTGGAACTCGAAGTGTGAGAACACACCGCGTTGGAAATGATGACTGTTGAAATTTGATACGAAGGAATAAAGTTGGTTTTTGGCGCGTAGGAACTCAACGTGTTGGAATTGGGAGCGTAGGAACTCAACGCGCTAGAATTCGATGCGTAGGAACTTGACGCGCTGGAATTCGGCACGTAGGAACTCAACGCGCTACAATTCGGTGCGTTAGAACTCAACGCGCTAGAATTCGACGCGTAGGAATTTAACGCGTTGGAACTCCACGCGCTAGAATTCAATGCGTAGGAATTTAACGCGTTGGGACTCAGCGCGTAGGAACTCCACGCGTTGGAAGTTAACGCGTAGGAACTCAACGCGTTGGAATTCGACGCGTGGGAACTCAACGCGTCAGAATTCGTCGCGTAGAGACCCAACGCGTTGGAATTCGACGCGTAGGAACTCAACGCGTAAGAATTCAACGCGTAGGAACTCGACGCGTTGGAATTCGACACGTAGGAACTCAACGCGCTACAATTCGGTACGTTAGAACTCAACGCGCTAGAATTCGACGCGTAGCAATTTAACGCGTTGGAACTCCACGCGCTAGAATTCAAAGCGTAGGAATTTAACGCGTTGGGACTCAGCGCGTAGGAGAACAATGTTAGTTCAAAACGCATTGGAATTCTGTGCGTTGGAACTCGAAGTGTGAGAACACACCGCGTTGGAAATGATGACTGTTGAAATTTGATACGAAGGAATAAAGTTGGTTTTTGGCGCGTAGGAACTCAACGTGTTGGAATTCGACGCGTAGGAACTCAACGCGTAAGAATTCAACGCGTAGGAATTCAGTGCGTTGGAATTCGACGCGTAGAAACTCACCGTGCTCGAATCCTCATGCGTTGAGACTTTACATATCGTCACTCATTGCATGATAACGCTACATATCCTCCCATCAAAAGAAAATGACTCTATTACTATTGTCTATAGAACTCCACTCATTAAACCTAATTACAACAATGAATTCAAAGATCAGCACTTACCGTTAATCTGGCATAAAAATCGTTAATGACCTTAAATGAATGAAACAATGATTTTATCATGATTTAATACTGCAATTGAAACTATTATTATTATCATAGTAACTTAGTATTAGAAGGCAAATTTTGTTAAAGCAGTTTGACTCATCCTACGCGCTCAATACATTCATATACACAACACACGTATCCCTCACGCACTCTTCAGGATCTATAGTCATAGTTGAAGTTTTCTGGAACTTCACAGGAGAACTACATCGACCATGGATCAGAGGATCGATGATCGATCGAATGATGCTCAATACCCTCACCTGGTTCCAGCAAACTCAGCTTGGCTGGAGGAGCATCAGTGTAGTTTTGGCTACCACGTATCCTGGCGCCGCAGGTCCATAGTCCTTCCTGTTCCTCTAGAGCGTAAAATAACCTGACACTGCAGTCTCTATCCTCGTTTCCGATCGGGGGAAACTGTTTTACCACCACTGTGGTGTTCGAGTTCACTGGGGTCAAAGACCATCGACACTGTTCTACCGCGGAGGATGTCATGCAACGGAGGAGGACACTGCTGCCTTTGGCTATTTGGATGTCCTGTGATAACTCCGAGAATTTCACCTCGTCTGAAACGTAAGAGATTTTTTAGAACTCATGGACGTATAATCGACGTGTAGGTATTCGACGCGTTGAGTTCTAGTTCGTGGAGATCCAAAGCGTTGAATTCTAATGCATGAGAATTCAATGCGTTGTGATTCATTAGGTAAAAGCTCAATGCGTTGAGTGCCAATTACTTGGAAATTCAATGCGTTGAGTTCCAATGTGTGGAGATCCAAAGCGTTGAGTTCCATCGCGTGAGAATTGAATGCGTTGAGCTCCAGTGCGTGGAGATACAACGCATTAAGTTTCATCGCGTGAGAATACAACACATCGAATTTCAGTACGCGGAGATTCAACGCGTTGAATTCCAACCCATGAGAATTCAACGCGTGAGTATTCGGCGCATTAAATTTTAGTACGTGGTAATTTAATGCGTTGAGTTCCAACGCGTAGAGAGTCAACGCGTAAATTTCAGTGCGCAGAGGTTCAAAGCGTTAAGTTGCAACGCGTTGAACTCTATCGCGAAGGAACACAACGCGTCGAATTCTATTACGAAGGAACACAATACATTTGGTTCTACAACGTAGTGTTTCAATTGTAAGCATTCAATGCGTAGAGTTCAACGAGAAGAAATTCAGCGCATCAAATTCTTTCTTATAGAGAATTAACCTACAGCGATCTACAGCGCGTTAATATAACGCATATCGTTGAACACGCACATACTCCTAGCAATTCATTCTTCATACAGTCATTCATCAATAAATACAAAAACTCAGCTACCAACAAATACAAAAATCAATTTCCCAAGAATGATCATGAGCCTCCCAATAATCATGACAGTCACAAAAGTCTTAATATTACCCGCAAGCTGTATATACAATAATTTCAAATATTACCTTGCTCGAAAGCGATGAGTTTGACATAAGGCGAAGTCAGTACCGTGTTCAGAGAGCTTATGGACACCTGACAGGCCCATTGACCCTGTTTCTCCGCGTACACTTGAGCAATAGTTAGTGAACAGTCTCTCCCAAGGTCACCGTTGCTAGGGAATTCTTGAACAACCATCTCGGGCTCGCTTCCGCGCAGCGGCTTCCAGGTCCATGTACATTTTTCGACGCGGCTGCTCGTTACGCATTTCAACGTGGCCTCCGTACCGATCGGGACAGAAGTGTCCGTTGGCATTTCAACGAAGTTGACTTTGGCTGAAACACGGATAAATCGATCGATTTGAAGCACGTTCTATCGCGTGTCTTGCCTGTTAACCTCAGGTTTCATTAAATTTCAAAATCGTGTGATCGATTGGACAGATATTCGAAGAAATCGATGCGGGTAATATGATGCTTTTATGAAATTGATAGATGTTAAGTGTTCGCACCTGTTGGCAGGAGGCTGACCGTAGCGGGAGGTGCTTCGTGAAGAATTCCATCTGGTGATAATCTGACACCGCAGGTCCAGAGCCCTTCCTTCTCGTATAAGATGTTCTTGAACCGGACCGAGCAATCGTGATCGGTTTCTTTATTTGGATTGAACTTCTTGACTAATAAGGGCTCTTGACTGGAATTAGTGGACCTCCAGGACCATTCGCACTGCACCACGGGCTTGTTTACCAGGCATCGGAGCAGCGCGGATTCACCGGGCGCTATCTGGATCCCTCTGGACAACTGCACGAACTCGACTATGCAACAAACACGTGGTTTATCATTAAAATTTACTGATGGAATTTCCAAAATTCTTTCAATATCAGGATGGATTGGATCAGGATGGATGGATGGATCAGATGCAAAGCATCCTCCAACTAGTAAAATCGTGGCACACAAATATCATAAGGATGTTACAAATCAAATCAGTAAAGATGTTCTCAAATTATCATAAAATCGGTACAGAAAGCATTTTCGAAATAATATAAATTCAAAAGAGTTATGAATTCTATGCATTTACAAAATATACTCAATACACTTAATTCTTGAATAACCATACCTTCTGAAATCAGAAATCGAATAGGATTCGACAAGGTGAACGAAGAATTAGGGCTAATTCTGGCACCACAGGTCCAGTGTCCCTCTTGCTCTACCAAGACATTCTTGAACTTAATACTGCAGTCTGTGCTGTCGTTTCCAAAAGCTGGAAACCGTTTCATCTCCAGATTCCATGGCTGAGATTGATTCAGTTGCCGCCAGGACCATTGACATTCTCGAACAGGTGACTTTGTCTGGCAAATTAGTTGCGCTGTTGATCCTGCTGGTATCTCGACCACGTTATCAAGCTTCGAAAACACCACCATCGAACCTAAAAATATATCTTCTTTTATACATCTTTGATGATTCTCTACTGGTTTGCATTTATAAAGTACTTATAATCAATTAGCATTCAGATGTAATTATTCAAAATAATTGATGTTTAAATAATTATTGTTTAAAGTCAGTCTATGCTTTACGTCCAGTCTGAAGTTTGTCTTTGAAACTTAAAGTAATTTGATGTTGAGTCTCAAGTTCTGTCTATGAAATGTTTATGTGCACTCTGCCATTGAGTCAGAAATATATTTCTTTTAAACTGAAAGTATTTTGACGTTAAATCTAAAGTTTACTGTCTATAAAACTCTGATTCATATCAAGAAGTTGAATCAGACGTGCATCATCTAGGAAACTTGAAGTATTTTGACGTTGAGCCTAAGATTTACAGTTTATGAAGCTTGAGCTATTTTGCCGTTGAGTCAGAAGTATATGCTGTGGGAACGAATGATACAGTTGATGAGTCAGTTTGAAAACTTTCAGATAAAAAATAGCAGACAGAAATGATTGTGGAGAACATAGGTGTCGGTAGGTCCTTGAGGATATATGTAGTGAGAGTATCGCTATCTGATATAGGATCAGTAAAGCACTATTCAAAATAACATTCTTTGTCTTCATTTATTATTGTACATGCGATTATTTAGACGTGGATGTATATGGTTAGGTAGATTGTGAATGCATATGTGATTAGTTAGGTATGAATGCATATGTGATTAGATAGGTGTGAATGCATATGTGATTACACAGATGTAAATGAATATATGATTAGGTAGATGTGAATGTACATGTGGTTAGGTAAATGCGAATACATATGTGATTAGACAGATGTAAATGAATATGTGAATAGGTAGATGTGAATGTACATATGGTTAACCAGATGTAGATGTACATGTGATTAGGTAGTTGTGAATGTATATGTGACTAGTTGCATGCGAATGTATATGTAATTAGACAGATATAAATGAATATATGACTAGATAGATGTGAGTATACGTGTCATATATTCTCTAGATGTGAATGTACATGTGAATGTACATGTCGTTAACTAGATTTAAATCTACATGTGGTTAGGTAGATGTGGATAGACCCGTATACGTGATCAGGTAGATGTGGATATATATGTGATTAGTTAGATATGAATGAATATGTGATTAGGCAGATGTGAATGTACAGGCGATTAACTAAATGTGAATGTACATGTGATTAGATACATATGAATGGAAATGTGACCAGGCAGATGTGAATGCATATGTGACCAGATATATGTGAATGTATACATATGTGACCAGGTAAATGTAAACATATATGTCACTAGGTAGACATGAATGTCCAAATGATTAGTTGGATGCGAATATGTACATGATTAGACATGAAGCTTGCAGTAGCCAATTAGTACCTTGATTTTCGTTAATGATGCTTAGCTTGGCAGGTTCCGTGCTGGTGAAAGAATCATTCTTGGAGGATCTTGCAGCGCAGGTCCAATATCCGGTCTGTTCATGCTTCGTGCTCGAGAATCTCACGGAACAGTCGTTGCTATTGTTCCCGAAGGCAGGAAATTGTTGTACCGGCAACGGATTGGTAGTCGGCGTGGCTGTCGTCTGAATCACCGAGACCGTGGTGGCTATAAATTACAAGCAAACTCCAATAAATACGCGACACACGAATGCCGCTGAAAACATCAGACCTGCCTTGTAAACCCGATCGTGCTTTGCTTTGCATACAGCTGTTGTGAAAAATGCAACTTTTCCGAGTTTATCCTGTAAAACCTCCCTCATCTAATTATCTACTGAATCATCGGAATCAACGCAAACTTCTCCCTTAATAAAATAATCCACGTGATCGATAATCATCTGATAACTAAATATAAATTTTCTAACTCATGCAATAATGTTCAAATAAAAGTTATACAAAATTTATATGGACACAAAGGGAAAGTAAGTATATTGTACTCAGTTTAATATTTATATAATTAGTTTCACAATTAGTTTCAAATAACATAAATGAACTTTAAGCCGTGCAGTAATATTTCCAACCATCACATTAAAATCCATGCGGACACGAGGAGAAAGCAAGTAGATCCACATATTCGGTTCCCTATTTATATAACTGGTTCTACAATTAGCCACAAATAAAACTAGGTAAATTAACCCTTTCACAATGGATACAAAAATCAAAATTGTAAATTGAACATTAGAAGAAAGTAACTTGTTCTATATTTTGGAATCCTCGATGATGTAGTCGCACGTTGATGTGTTTGACCTTGAAAGTGTGCATTAATATAAATACTAACTTGTCGAAGTGGCTGGGCTTTCACTGATATCCGGAAGTGGCAAATGAACCGGTGGCAAAGGTTGCCAGGACCATTGGCACTCTGCCACAGGATTAGCGGTTCTGCATGCGAGCAGCACTGACGAGCCCAGTTCCGTTTCTGTATGTTCCGGTACATCCACAAATATCACCGGATTCGGTGGTGCCTTCGTTCCCGGCAGGACATCGTCCATCAGATGTCCTTGAATTTCAGGATCATCGGAAACCGTGTTCTCTATCGTAGTACTAAACGCTTTAATCGTTGTCGTGACATCTGGTTCCTCCGTTACAGGTACACCTACAACCACAATTTCCTTGTTCAAGACACCGTTTACTTTCAAAATCGATTACATTTTGTATTTGTGTCGACAATTGTGTCGCTGTTTAGTAGAATTTTAGAAAGGGGAAGTCGTGAACCATGAGAAGGGAAGCGATGTTGCTTCACAGGTTGTCAGACGCGTTCGAGAATTCCTGGAGTATTTTGAATTTCACGACAGATATCTACAAAACGATCACGTTCCTCCAAATTGCCAACTGGTCTTACATGAAGAAGTTCTACAAGATATCTACGAACGGAGGAATTCATAGCAACGAGGACATTTCGTCTGAAGAAAGTGCTATTTTCAGAGCCAGACGATTATCATTACAATATTCTGGTACTATGTTTGTACACTTGGGTGGGTACGGTTCTTTTGGACACGCGTGAGGAACAAATAACAGTAGATGAGGAACATACTATTATTTTTAGCATGTGGGTTTGGAAGATGCAAGCTTTTATATAGTGCAAACTTTAAAATTTGGAAATTTCTAAGTTTTCTAAGTTCTAAATTTTCACATTAGTAAATTTCCACATTCCACAATTACCATATACGCCAATTCCCATATTTCTCAATTCCACATTTCCCAATCCCATAATCCCCAATTCCACATGCCCCAATTCCCACGTTCCCCAATTCCACATTCCCAAATTCCCACAGTCTCCAATTCCCATATTCCCCAATTCCCATATTCCCCAATTCCCATATTCCCCAATTCCCATATTCCCCAATTCCCATATTCCCCAATTCCCATATTCCCCAATTCCCATATTCCCCAATTCCCATATTCCCCAATTCCCATATTCCCCAATTCCCATATTCCCCAATTCCCATATTCCCCAATTCCCATATTCCCCAATTCCCATATTCCCCAATTCCCATATTCCCCAATTCCCATATTCCCCAATTCCCATATTCCCCAATTCCCATATTCCCCAATTCCCATATTCCCCAATTCCCATATTCCCCAATTCCCATATTCCCCAATTCCCATATTCCCCAATTCCCATATTCCCCAATTCCCATATTCCCCAATTCCCATATTCCCCAATTCCCATATTCCCCAATTCCCATATTCCCCAATTCCCATATTCCCCAATTCCCATATTCCCCAATTCCCATATTCCCCAATTCCCATATTCCCCAATTCCCATATTCCCCAATTCCCATATTCCCCAATTCCCATATTCCCCAATTCCCATATTCCCCAATTCCCATATTCCCCAATTCCCATATTCCCCAATTCCCATATTCCCCAATTCCCATATTCCCCAATTCCCATATTCCCCAATTCCCATATTCCCCAATTCCCATATTCCCCAATTCCCATATTCCCCAATTCCCATATTCCCCAATTCCCATATTCCCCAATTCCCATATTCCCCAATTCCCATATTCCCCAATTCCCATATTCCCCAATTCCCATATTCCCCAATTCCCATATTCCCCAATTCCACATTCCCCAATTCCACATTCCCCAATTCTCACATTCCTCAATTCCCACAATCCCAACTCCCATACTTCCCAATTCTCACATTCCTCAATTCCCAAAAATTCTAAAATCCCGAATCTGAAAATTCCCTAAATTTCCAAATTTCTAAAATTTCAAATTCTCAATCTCTCAATTTCCTAAACCCACTACTTTCTAAAGAACACGTCAAATATCATAACGCTTCGAATATTCGGTAAACGAAGTTTCCCAGTTCTATCTGTAAGATGTTACCCAATAGCAGCGTTCATAACTCGCCCATAATTGCCCTTTCTGATGAAACTTTCGGAAATTAGAAAAGCAGGGACGGATACTGAACAGGTCCCATGTTATCCATAAGAACTCAGGTGAACATATATGTAGGACACATCGGGCAGGAAGCAACGACGGTCACGTAGACAATCGCCTTGCGTCGCGCGTCTGTCACCATGTGCAAATAGAACCAGGGACGGATCGATAATAAAATATTTGTGAAAAGAGAGAACCATAAAATTCAGCTTATCGTAACGTGGACGGAGTAACAAACTTTTTGTCCTCCGAGGAGTTTCAAAACCTTGTTATGTGATCTTCTGGGACGATCCTTCAAATTTTGCTTGTTTTGTATGACGGACTGTTTTCTGATGTATGATTCTATATTTCGGAGAGTTACATATGAATTTATTTATACTTCTGTGTGAATATATGTGCACTTCTCTATGAATTTATGAACACTTCTATATCAATCTATGTACACTTCTATATTAGTGTACGCGAGAATATAACATAGACTTCTTTTGACCTAGGAGGAGTAGCAGAAAACTGCTGCCATTTGTTTTTTATTGTGATACTACTATTAGGTTCATAGTTGATGAATTTCTAGCTCTTGATGGAGAGGTTGGAGATTCTCAAATTTCTATTCTTCCAAGCTTTCAAATTCTCAAATTCATAAATTTCCAAGCTAAATTTGTAAATTCCATGATTTCCAGTTCAGTTTTCCCAATTTCCTATAATGCCAAATTCCCACATTTCTAATTACCTACGTTCTTAAATTTCTACATGTCGAAATTCCCATATTTCCACATTTCCAAATCTCCACGCCTCCAAATCTCTACATTCCTAAATCTCTGCACTCCTCAATCTCCACTTTCTCAATTTCCTACGTTCTCCAATCCCTACATTCCTAATTCTCCGCAATTTCAAACTCCTACATTTCCAATTCTCCACAATTCCAAACTCCTCCATGTTCAATTCACCACATTCTTAACTACCCACTTCCCAAATTTCTAAATCCCCAATTTCGTAAAACACTCTTCAACATAGAAATTCTCCCACACTCTTCATCATAGAAATCAACACTCCAAAGTCCCACATACCGAAGTTACCTTCCCAAATTTGAGAAATTCTAAATTTCTAAACTTTTCCTACGGGAAGTTACATTAACTTCCGAGTGTGCTACAAAGTGTCGATAGCAGGTTGCAGGCAAATCGTTAAAGAAGACACGCCTACGCTTCACGTATTGTTAATTGTATCGAAAGTCGGCCGTTTTCGTCCGACGACCGCTCGAATTTCTCTGAATGAAAGAACGCTGGTGTGCACCGTTCCACACTTTCTACGTGGCCATGTAATACGTGTCCACCAAACTTGGTCCTTGGTATTGTCTCGTAACGTTCGCCAACGTTCGAGCTTGTCCTCAAGACGAGCAAAGTGGTCGCTGACACTGGAAGGTCGTTTCCACTTTGCATTGACATACTCATCGGCTTCGTGGTTTTACGACGATACGTGTCGTCCCGACACACCGGTAGCTCGGAATATAATTTCACTGCATCTCGATGTGAACATAAACTTTACGACGTTCTAAAGTCGAAATTATTGTAGAACGGAGAAATCGGGCGCATGGTGGACCACATGAAATTAATTTAACGGTAAATTCTACCATACTTTTTCACATGACGTTTCGTGGGATTGCAAATTACAAATCATTTTGTAGGATTGCATTTTTATATTCAAATATCATGGAGGTTTTGCTTTAATTTGGGGCATAGTTTTATTGTATATGAATTGTTTATTTTTAATGAAAGTAGTACCTACACTATTCTTAAACTTTCAGCTTAGTAACAGCATTGATCTGCTTTAGGATGTTTACTGAATCTATTCACAATTTGAAAAGATGTTCATCAAGTCTATTTATAATTTTCTTTGGGATGTTAAATAAATTTGTAATTCACTTTGAGATGTTTATTTTACTCTATGATGTTCAGCAAATTTATTTATAATTTTCTTTAGGACGTTAAATAAATTTATAATTCATTTTGAGATGTTTATCTTACTCTATGATGTTCAACAAATCTATTTATAATTTTCTTTAAGATGTTAAATAAATTTATACTTCACTTTAAAATGCTCAACTTACTCTATGACGTTTATCAAATCTATTTATAATTTTCTTTTAGATGTTAAATAAATTTATAATTCATTTTAAAATGCTCACCTAACTCTATAATGTTCAACAAATCTATTTATAATTTTCTTTAAGAGTTAAATAAATTTATACTTCACTTTAAGATGCTCATCTTACTCCATGATGTCCAACAAACTCATTTACGATTTGTTTTAAAATGCTCAACAAAATTATTTATAATTTCAGACGTTTAAAAAATTTATTTAAAAATTTGCTTAAAAATGCTCAACAAAATTATTTGTAGTTTAAGACGTTTAAATAATTTGCAACACCGTTTGCACTAAGATAGCCAAATCAGTAAACACAAATTCATAGCTCATCTAAATATGAATGACACGACGTTTAGAGTGGTTAGATGCGTTAAGACACGAGGAAAATCTTACAAGCGTTTAAAGTTTTTATCGTAAAACTTTCTCCTTGAATAACCATAATTTCCATAGAAAAGATTGTTAAGCGAATATTCGTGTCGGAAATTATGGTACTAAACGATAGAAAACATTGTTCCTTGTTCCCTGTTCCTTTTACCAGCACTTCCACATCCTCAAATTACATTGCAGCTAAGTTTGCAGTAAAATTACCAAAATAACAGAGGATGTATCTCAATACTTTATCGAAATTTATGAATGAGTTAAACTCAAGCCAATTATCCTTCACAGCTCGGAACCGTGAGAATTGCACGTTACATAAGCATGATCATCTGATACATCAATAGACAGAGTTTAGATCTCATTTTCCATAATTCATCATTTGGAACACGCGAGATATTCCGAAGACATAAATAGAAAAGGAAGAAAAACAGTAGTGCAAAATCCAAATAGTGCATCGGTCTGATGTCCAAGGACACAGTTTACTTTCTTATACTTTCTTACTTTCTTTAGCCTGTCCTTGATGCCAGTCACTGATCAATTTTCGAGTGAAACGATTTCTTTGAGTCTCGTTCGTGCTGTGTCATTGCTCCTTGAAAAACTCGGTTTTCTTTAATGTCGCGGATAAAAATACCGACTCGATAAATGTTTAATGAATGAATCACTCGATTATGCAAATTTATTCTCGAT